AACAGCAGAGATTGATTCAGGGTCTGTACTCCGACTCAAAGGAAGACAGTCATGAGCCACGGTGTGAGGTTCATGTGAAAAACTCGATCACCCGGTGTACAAAAGCCAGAAGAAGTCAACGACGATGAAAAGGAAGAAGAATGGAGTGAAGCTGAAGATGTTGCACCAGTGACCGGTTCTGGAGGAAGTTGTTCCAGCTGAAGAAGATATCAAAGAACAGACAACGAGAAAAAGCAAATGTAGGTAGGCAAGGTAAACAAAAGCAAGGTAGGTGACCAGCGGACATTTTGTCTACTTGACCGGATCGTCGATCACTGGAAACAAGAATCCAAATTCCTACCCTGAAGTGATGCAGTCTCATGACAGTGAAGAGTGGTTGAAACTACATAAATAATAATTAGATTCTTTAGAGAAAAAGTGTATCTGGGTGTTGGTCGAACGTCCAAAATATGTACAAATCTTGAAGAATCGCTGGGTCTTCTGCCAGAAAGTATTGGACAGTGGAAAATCCGTTTCAAGGCTCGATTGGCTGCAAAAGGTTTCATACAAAGACAGGGAATTGATTATGATGAGACATTCAGCCTTATCGCAGAATATGAAACAATTCAGATCTTGATGGCGGTGGCTGCTACATTTGGAATTAAGCTCGCTCAATTTTATGTCAAAACCACTTTTTTGAACGGTGTGCTTGAAGACGTGTATATGGAATAACCGGAGGGTTTTGAGGATAATACCAAACGAGTGTGTTACGTGAAGAAAAGTTTGTATGACCTAAAACAAACGCCGCGCAGCTGGAACAAACGATTTGAGAAGTTAATGAAGAAAACACTAGTGGATTCAAAAACAGTAGTGCTTATCCATGTCTGTTCTACCCTCAGAAAGACGGAAAACATGTGTATATTGTCATTTCTGTGGATGATGGTGTGGTTATTGCAACTGAAATAGAAGAACTCGAGGAATTCATGGAAATGTTACAGCAGGAATGTCATATAAGAGAATCTCTCAGAAACCTTTTGGACATGAGAATACAGCAAAATGAAGATGGATCAATAACAATTGATCAAGAAGAAGAACACGAAAAGTTTTGGAATCCATGGTCTGGGGCCCGTTTCACAGAAGAAGACCAGAAGTTAAAAGTAAATTCACTGTTAACTTGCGAGAACCGCGGCAATCGCATTTCACAATCATATTAGTAATCACTAATAGTAACAAGTGAATGCCCAGTAGTTCACAAGTGAAATTCTACAAGCAACAAGTGTTTCTGATTCTCAGAACTTACTAGTAGTCTAATACAATTGTAAATAAGCAGTATTTTGTTACAAGCCTACAGATACATGTAGGAATGAACGATATACGATTACAAGCTTTTTATATTTGTGCGATCATATGTATTTAGAATTAGGAAATTACCGTTTTATCTTATTAGTGATTGTGAATAGATTATGTTAGAATTACTTTATTATTATGCACGTTTTCTTCAGCTCTCATTTCGCTAGGCATGGTACTTTCGTCCGGATGAAAAAAATCGAACCTTTAACACCCACGGCTCGAAACGCTGACCCCAAGACCCAGGAAGCTGCCTTTGCAACTTCCCGCATTGCTCTGGCTTCCAAATCATGACGTTTGATGTGGAGTTTGCAGAAGAAGCTGAAATATACTTTTGTGGAATTCAATGGTTAACTCTCAAATTATTCTTCATTAGTATTTTTTTACACATTTGCAGTTCTTTGTAATCATTCTTTAGTAATACAAAAATGTTAAAGCGCATTTAATAGAGCCTTTTAGTACATTTAACATGGTAGTAAACATTCAATGAAGGGAGAACTATCGGAGGTAAGAGTAACAACCAACCTCCCTATCCCCCATGTTACGTTTACGAATTATGATTAAATATAAGGAGATTACAGAGCTGAAGAAAAAGCGTTTAAATTTCACGGACAAGTTACCTCTTTTTGCCAGTTGTTTCTGGAGTACCACAAGGGTTTCTTGATTTTTCAGTTTTATTCTCTTTATAGTGGATTTACGAGTACTAACCCCTGTATAAGCAGACGTCCGTTTCAATGATTGGGGAATGTTATGAAGTAATGAATGTGTCTCTTTTTCAATATCGCACAACTCTGGCTATTATTTTTCTCTCTCCTCTATGAAATGTCCTACGCACCTGTTTGGGAGGAGTCAATGTAGCTCTATTGAGAGACCTTGTCGTAACTCTGCCATTTTCGCTATCAAATACTATTTTAATTCTAAACACCACGAACTAAATTAATCCACTGCGTAATACGGTCTGAAGCGCACTGCAAATGGTTATAATTTTCCCACACCTTGTATTTGTAATGTTGTCAACAGGTGTTGCTGCGATTCACACTAATAGACTGTTTCTAGTATCAGAGAGGGGGAAGTGGGCCCAGGGCTCGAGAAAGCCTGTAGATATAATACGTCCCTTCGCGGTGGGATTTTATTTTATTTTGAACATCGCATATAGTTTTTTTAATGTTTGAGAACCTGCATACAAAAAAGCCAGTCATCCATCCACTTTTGGGACTGTTTACTAATCTTAAACTTCATTCCGGTGCTCCAAAGATCAGTGTATCGTATCGTGACAGGAATACAAAAAAAAGAATACAAATTCTGAGGGAACTGTATTTTCTACAGCAGTGATAATTGTACACACTGTTACCATTGTTCCACGCTTGCTTGATGTAATTTGACTTGCCTGATGAGTTTCTAATTTAGTAACCATTAAAGCTTCAAGTACAGTCGATAAAAATTTTTCGTTTTTTGATAAATATTTGATCTCCAGTGTAGTGATCTGAAGGAATAGCTTGTTCATAATTGCCAAAAATTCAATAAAATTGTCTTTATACAAGCTATAGCTGATATTGTATTTATACAAACTGATATTTTCTGATTATACAAATTTGATATTTTCTGAAAGTGCGCTGTTTATGATAGTCAAAATTTGTATTAAATTCTGGCTATTTTATTTTCATTTAAATTACTGGGGATCATTCAGCTTATTCTTTTTGCGTAATTAATTGTAATTGACCATAGTTCATATTTGAACATTTAATAATTTAATAGCAAATCATATTTTCTTCATTTTTGTGCAAATTTGTGTACTTGGAAATAAAACATTTTGATGAAGTTAAATTGTTGGATCATCAAGACCAACAGCGTTTCTTGTTTATTCAATAAAATGAGAGAAGTGAATTCCAAATACGTCTCCAGGTATTGTAAGATACCGCTGCAGTTGTTGTGCTACTTGCAGTGGTTGTTGGCGATTACAAATGCTTCCAGTACAGGATGAAAAAATATTGAGTTCGCAGGGAAGCTAAGTTCCCTGGAGGGGCATGGTGGTGAGCGAGGTTTCAAGTACAGAGACCAAGTCCGATGAAGTATGAAAAGTTTAATTGAAAACGTAGAGCTGCAGAGCATCGTGAAGTTAATACAGCAAAGTCTCTGGGCTGTCTGCCCGTTATCAACGCGAGAGGATCCTTATATGGGAAACATAGAAATTTATGAGACCATTACGCCACCCCCACCAGAACTCATGTCCTGGACGCCATAAACTGACATTTCTGTCGGAAGACATTTGCCCTTTTGAAATCACTGTCTCATAAGTTCCTAAACATCCCCGCTTCCACTACCTGGAACCATGATAGCATTGACAGTGGTTTTTGGGGAGCCTTATCATACACGACCTTAAGATAAGCAGATCTCGTGCTCCAGACGCGACCCGAATTTAGATAACTTTGAAAAACGATATTTCTCTCGCGTACATATTTGAGAGAAATATCCATTGCTTCTCTTACGCAATACTTCATACGTACGTAGGTGCATTTACCATTACAATACACTGTGTGATCAAATGTATCCGAGCACATGGCTGAAAGTGACTTACCAGCTCGTGGCGCCCTCCATCGGTAATGCTGGAATTCACTAGGGAATTGGCCCACCCTTATACTTGATGATAGTTTCCACTCTCGCAGGAATATTTTTAATCAGGTGCTGAAATGTTTCTTGGGGAATGGCAGCCCATTCATCGCGGTGTGCAGCACTGAGGAAAGGTATCGAGGTCGTGAGGTATCGTCAGTGAGGCCTGACACGAAGTCAGCGTTCCTAAACATCCCAAATGTGTTTGATAGGTCTCAAGACAGTACTCTGTGCAAGCCAGTCAGAAATGTTATTGTCGTGTAACCACTCCACCACAGGCCGTGCAATATGAACACGTGCTCGATCGTGTTGAAAGATGCAATCGCCATCCCCGAATTACTCATCAACAGTGGGAAGCAAAAAGATGTTTAAACATGAACGTAGGCTTGTGCCGTGATACTGCCATACAAAACAACAAGGTGTGCAAGTCTCCTCCATGAAAAACACGACCACACCATAACACCATTTTGGAAGTGTCCGGTTACTTTTGATCACATAGTGTAGATGCCATCTTTAATGATGAAATGACTGGCGCTATCTCTTCCTAGCCCACGTCTGGCTTAATATGGTTCTGGCTTAATAAGTTCATGTTACCAATTCTGAAATAACCAATTAAAACTATACATTAATGTGACGGGACATTGGAACAACGTTGATATCTATCCCATAGTTTTGTTGAAATCTTCCCTCATGCAGACAGTGAGGATAAATTATTCCAACTCTCTTTAAAAAACGCACAAATACAAAATACACGTACAAATATACAAAACTTATATTTTGTATATTTGTACGTTATAACAGTACTGTCAGATGGAGAAATACATAATTAATTTAATATTATATATAATATACAAATTTATAGAATTCACTTTGCCAAATGACGTGTACGAAAATTTCCGTGCTGGAGGCAAAATTAACTTTTTACGAATATACATGAAATATAACCGATTTCCCCTTTCCACAGGCAACGCCTTCTGGGGGTTTGGAGAAAAATGTGTTGTGATGCTGCGCTGTAACGCGGCAGTGCTCGATAAATCGATGTCAAGTAATAAAGCTCTGTTTTTCAGGCTTCGTATTGGCAATGTACCGTTGAAAGTGGAATGTTTTCCTGTGGTGAATGGCAAGAAAGAAGAAAGAGTGGGATTCATATTGCTGACCTTACGGGCTGCCAAAACTATTGCGCCAAATAGTATGCTTTCAGATGTAAGATCCTTTCTTGTTTGTTCTTAAAAGAGGAGCTGTAATAATATTATAATCTGATTAATTATATTTCTTATGCAATTATTACTTAGTTACTAATTTTATTATTAACTTCTCTACATAAACCAGTAAACATGCTACTGATGAAAAAAGGTATTACGCCTCAGTCCTGCATCAACGGATTTGAGACGAAAAGCATAGAAGCTACGATATTATGACATAGCCGGGAAATCAGAGACACATGCACCCCCAATACGCATTATTCTGTAACACACTTCGCCATCGATCATAACTCGGACACGATGCCTTCTAAGGCTTTTCAACCAAATGTTCGTGTTCCTCACGAGACACGATTTGTGATTTCTATGAAGTGAGCTATGTAGTGAGAACTTTTTAGATATTCTCTTACATTTTTGAAAGGCCATCCCTTAGCACGAAAGAAAGCCTCAAACACTGAAATGTTCCACTGTGAAGCTATTTTCATTTTTAAAACAATGATATAAAAACGATGTATTTGGAGATTGCAATTTTGCGGAGAATTTACTGTTTCGGTTTTTCGAGCTTCCACTCTTCTGGGTTCTCTAATTATGCAGAAATTCCGCATGCATTTGCCGAGTCACGGCACTATTCGTCGACGTAACATTTAAAAAGGAATTTTGTAGCGAAAAACTCATATTTAAAAAAAATCAGATTAAGATGAGTACTTGGGGAACAAGCTGGAATATATGTAGGGAATGTTTCTTAATGAGCCCTCCAGAAAACGAGACCCATTTGATCTTCTGGTATTTTTTTGAGAGTTAACTCTTCTGATACCAACATTCCATGGTATACATGGATGATTCAAATCGACATATGTAAAAATAAATTGACACATCAATTGATCTGTTATTTCATGGTTTAACATACGGTTCAAGGATTGGCCGTTTAATGCTTGGAACCAGTAATTTTGAGCGGTTTTTAAGAAAGTATTTTGTTATAAACTACATAAGTTGCAAGTTCAAATTACGCAAAAACAAAAGTTTTTAAAGAAAAAATTAGTCTTTTTTCTAAAAAAGTCTCTTGTTTTACACTATCCGAGGAGAAAATGTAATCAAAAAACTTGGATCCATTTTTGAGAAAATTTTGAAAATGTTGAGGCTTTATGTAGAGTACCTTCCAAAATCAAATTATCCGTTTCAAACTCAGACGGCATCGAAATCTTTTACATAGATCGGGGAACATCAATTTTGGAGAAAATCAACTGAATGGTTCAGGCGCTAGCGTTTGACTACAGACAGATAGACGAACGGACAGCCGTGTTACCGAAAATCGGTTTTTCGGTATCAAAGTACCACAAAACATGGACAACACGTGTTTGAGGAAGTAATTTACTATGTATACAAAGAACGAGATTATCAACTTTTTCTTTACAGGTTCCGGCAATAAGGGGGTTTTCTGTCGAAAATTCGACGTTTTCTTTTAATTTTGTAAAGTAAGGGCGAGAAAGTAACAAAAAGGCTCGATTTTTTTCCAAATATCGCTTAACAATATCGGGTTTATTTGAAGCTATCGTAAAATCAGTATGGATTTGTTAGTCATATAGTTATGTATACAGTCCCTCAGAAATAACGTGTTTTGGTGTGTTCCTGGTACTTGGAACATATGTTTCGAACTTAAAGAGCGTAACAGATCTACCAGTGTATGTAACTGTAGACTATATTGTTCAGGCCTTCTAGTGCCAGGAAACCCTGCTAGTTTTGGTTAAGCTGAGATAATGTGATCAATGGTTTCTACTTATCAAATACGGTATTCATTCTAGAAAATTTGATGACACGCTTTATGATAATGTTGAGTTCCCAATGCTTCCTCATTGTTCGTATTATAATTGCTTCATTTTCTGACTTTATTCTTCATATTTTAAGCCATTTTTTAATAGCTTTAATCGTTTTTAATAAATTTATTTTAAGTCGCATCAACATCTATGGTTATTAGGGACTACACATAAAGACATTTGATAGCGTTTCCATTAGTTATAAAACTGTGCTTAAACAAAATACCACAGAAAAATTATATCTAACAAAAATTAAATACACATTGTTAAATACAAAGTTTTAATTGTATAGTTTTGAAATACATATAGTAGGGTTATATTTCATTTAGGATATTAATTGATTTACAAAATTGCAGTACTTTTTTGTTCATAATCCCCAGATGTTAGGATTAAATCTGGATCATCTATCATGTGCTTGCGTCTGATGTCCTGAAATAGAGTACATTGGTGTAACACAGTGGTGTGCATTCAACCTCAGCCACCCCAGCACTGCTGGGACAAGCTAGAACGAGAATTTATTGAATGTACCGTATGTCACATGATCAAAAGTATTGCATCCACTGCATTCTACTGCAATCTTTGCGGCAGCCCATTGCTCCTGCAGTGCTCTAACACCAGCTGGGTAAGAAAGATGTGCATGCATCTAATTTACTGGGCCAGCGGCAGACGGCGATCGGGGGAAAGCCGCAGCGGATAATGCCCTGAACTCAGCTAACTGGGAATGGATGACGTTGCTCCCCCTCCCACTGCTTCAAGGCCAGGCCTCGTCTGACTCGCCCTGCCTGCAAACGTAATTACTTGTAAGCTAGTGCTATCACAATGCAAAATTATTTTAAATGACATGTTTTGTTAGAATAAATTACCGTATCGTTTGACAATAAGTTTATAAGTTATAAAATGATTATAGGTACATATTTGTTTCTCGCTGTAATGAGAGTAAATCAGAATGTTCAATGGAGAGTTTATTAATTTTTTGATGTAGGAAGTTCTGACTCATGTGAGATTAGATCACTACAAACCCTAAATTTTTGATGAACACATCATACTCTTCTTAGATAATCAGTGTGGGGAACAGGTCCTGGGTATAGTAGGGCGTGACGCAGTGGTGATTCATTGTAGTGTTTGTGATGTATTGTCGTCTTTACTCGTAATTTTTTGTTTATTTGTCGTAACTTTGCAGAGTAGTAATAAGTGGATAGTCTAATCTAACGGGCATTCAGGCATTGTATAGTACTTAAAACAGTTACGGAGTATTATAACATTTCAATTTCTGTTCTACTAACATTTTAGCCTTGCAAATGGCTTGAAATATCTTAACCGAATGAAGTGCTTGTGGTTCGAACCGTAATTAGTTTGCAACCACTAATTGCTGCCATTTCTTGCCCATTTACTAAGCAATCAAACGTGATTATAGTACTCGCAGTTACAAGTGCAACCGCATTCCCAGCACAACATAATACATGGTTTGACTACCTCAAAGAGAGATACCAACTTTTTAACAATTATTAGCAATCAAATATTTTTAAAGTAAAATAAAATAAATTTTACATCTGGAGCTGGAAAGATAAAAAATACCTCCTTCTGAGGGGGATAAATCGCATACAACAAAGTAACGCATAATTCTAATTTTACGTCATGCTACTATTGACAGGCTACTCGTCCTGCATTTAATTTTGACAGAAACAAACTCATGGGATGCACGACAAAATATCGAGTTTTTTCCCTTTATTGTTAAGTTTGACTTCACCTCGATTTGACGGCGATGAGGCTTGCTGCATGCCCAGCGACGGCGTTGCACGTTCAGGCGCAAAGCAGAACAATATAGACCCCTGAGAGTTCATTTACCTGTCAAACATCGATGCATGACGGGTTGCCTAACTTATAGTGACTTTCTTGCCTTACGTGCGTTTAGAACGTACTTTTTGTCCACGTACTTGGACACATCTACTTCATGTCCCTACACCACGAGTCCGATTCACTGGACAATACTACTCGTAAACGATGTAGAGTACGTTATGTAAAAAATAACAATTTGGTGAAACTAATAATATAACTAAAACTGAACTTTCCATGCTACATACTAATGGCAACTATAAGTTGTAATCGTTCACCAAAAAAATGTACTTTTAGAAATTTTGAAAATTTAGAGAGAAAAATGTTTTACGCTATTTTAAGCGCCATTTGATTTATCCGAAAAAAAATACTCCAAAAATTTTGATTCATATCGTGAGAAGTTTTGTAACTTTTAATGCTTTATAAAGTACCCCACAAAATCAAAATATTCAAGAAATGTCAATTTTGAGAAAATCGTCGCTAGTATTGACCAAAGATGGATAGAATATAGCAGATTGATGTAAACCAATTTTTTGGTTTCAACGACCCACAAAACGTGGATTCTAGCTACACAACGTTTTAGCGGAACTTACCACATATGGGAAGAAGGTTTATACACATTATTGATATCAAGGCCCCATTCTATGAGTTTTTCTGACGAAGAGTTGCTACTCTTCAGCATTGGAATACTTTATCTTTACTTCGTAATTAGTAGACGAGAAAGTAAACTACTGGTTTTTGGATTCTTGGGGTTGAAAGAATTGCATTGGAAGTAAAATTAATGGTAAACTTGTGTCAAAGCTAAACTAGTGGTACTGTAAGAGCACATACTACTTCCTGGCGTTATTTGTAAATTTACAATTTTCAAAAATTTAGATAGTTCTACAAAAAGGAGACTTGCGCTGTTCTTTTAAGCGTTCCTTGTTTTATTCGTGAAAAGAAAATACAAAAAAAATTCTAGCAGTTTTTAAGAAAAAGCTTTTTTATCATTTAAATTGCATGAATTACAAGCACAGATTACGCAAAAACTACTCGTCGTTTCAAAAAATTGTATATGACATTATTAAAGAGCTAATTTTAGTATAGATTTTGTTTAAACCAAATATATCTATCTTTAATAATATAATTTTATTTGCAAAAGTTTTGGAATTATCAAAAATATAGAATTCATCGGGAATAAGTCAAGTAACAGTTTTTACCGTTATCTGATAATACTAGGAGTATTTGTAAAAAACATGGAACCATTTTATGGAAAAAAAAGGTTTTAAAAAATTCAAAATTGCCTATATTTCACGCAAAATCGCGCGAAAATACTCATACGTGTTTCTGCCAAAAATTCGCTTTTTTCGACGCACGATTACGCTACTTTCTCTTCTTACGAAGTAAGGACGAGAAAGTAAAAAAATATATTGAAGCCCGATCATTTCATAAAACTGGCAGCCTAACATGATTGACCGTTCGTTATAGTCTTACGAAACATGTGCATTTGGCATCGGCATGTGCCTTCGAAGTAACAAGCGGTGTGGTCTTGAAATAGGTTACCAAGGCAAGATTTTTATACAAACGTTTTTATTTTGAAGAGATGAAATGTTTCAATGATTCAATGTACTGAATATAGTTCTTCATTAGTGGAATGTTACAATAATAATAATAATAATAATAATAATAATAATAATAATAATAATTATAATATAATAATAATTAATAATATAGCAATGAACAGAAAGGATGTAGACCTGGATCTCAGGTGCAAGGAGCAACTCATTATAGACTCTGTAATTATGGGGCAATGCTTGAAAACAAAGAAACTTGTACGCATGCTACATAGATTACGCTAAGCATTCGACACCGTGCCCCATTCTTGGCTCCTTCAATGTTTGGATGTATACAAGGTCCACCCGTTTATAAAACTCCTGAAAACTGGATGAGTCGATGGAAACAAAAAACTGTATTACTTCTCAAATGGAAACAATCGTCCACAACCAGATATACTATATCAACTCCGCAGAGGATTTTCCAGGGTGACTCTTTAAGCCCTTTTTTGTTTAGCCTTGAATCCCCTTCTACCTACTTCATCTAATTATGGAATCGCTCTTAAAAAGGGGAACTCAATCTCTCTTCGTGTCTCATATCTCCTATAACATGGATGACCTGAAGCTCTATGCAGACACTGAGAGTCAAATGCGGCAACTAATAAACGTGACGGAGAAGTTCACTGACGACATTAAGATGAAATTCCGGTTTGGATAAGGGCAGGAGAGTGAATATATTCGCGGTCATATGCAAGTATAAATTTGGAAACTGATAATGAACAAAAGATTAACCTTCATGGTAACCCCATGAAACTTACAAATACTTGGAGTTTCAACAGTCACTGTCAGAATCAAACTACTGTTTCTAGAATAATACTAACAAAATGAAAGTGTGTAAACGATTGCATTGGGCTTTAAAAAACTCAACTCTCCTGCTAAGAAACCTTGTGCAGCATCAATTCATTTGTATTCAGTGCTGACACCCTCCTTGGCGTTATTAAATGAGCGAATACAGACCTCGACAACCTCCAGAGAACATATTCGAACCGCTATGACTCAACACCGAAACCATCATCCCCATTCAAGTACTAAGCGTTTTACCCTTCCAAGGTCGCAGGAGGGCTAGGTATTGTAGATCTCATAAATCTACACACGCTCTCAAATTGCTTCACTCAGAAGGATACTTCTTAGAACATTGTGGGAGAGTTCAGCAAGCAGTGAGCGCAGTTTGATAACTGTATAGTCCTCTGAACTGTGAAAAAAGCTTGATCCGTCTGTTCAACCATCATTGAAAAGGAAGAGAAGATAACCTTATGGAAAGCAAAGCACTGCATGGAAGGTACCCTCACTACTGAGTAAACCAGAAGTCGACATCTCTGCATCGCACGCATGCTCCAGCACGGGGATCTCTTTCCGGAGACAGAAGCCTTCATGTTAGCTATCCAGGACCAAGTGGTACCAATATTGAACTACAGAAAACACATTCTTGAGAGATTCTACCATACATTCGACTCGTGTAGAAGATGTGAGGCTGCAAGCGGAAAACTATCCAACACGTGACAAGTGGATGTAGCAGCCACGCACAGGTGGAATACAAAAAAGAGGTATGATGAAGTGGGCGAAGCAGGTACAAACAATTATTCGCTGTTGAGAACGGGCTTACTCGCCACTTCCGTGCCGTATTATAAATGTGTCCTCAGAAAGTGCTTGAAAGTAGTGAGCACACACCTACTGGTATCGTTCCATTATCACACTGACAGACATGTCGGCGGCAATAGACCCGATATAACGTTACATTGATAGAAACCAAACAGCAGGTTTTCCTTATCGATATATCATACCAATACCACACAACATATCGGGAAAAATCAAGAGAAGATCCAGAAGTATATCCTATCTCGCCTATGAAGTCGCAACTCAGTGGAACTTCAGTAAGTGAGCGACTGTGCCTATAATAATATCAGCTACGGAGTGATCCCGAAAATGACACTTCGGGCACTGGAGTGTCTTTACTTGGATACCAGGAATGTATATAATATGCAAAGACAGTAATTTTGAATACATGCCGTATTGTCAGAAGCCATCTGAACCTTCAATAAAGCAACCACACACCTGGTCATCATACCTGTTGTGGTTGAACATACCGACGCTAGTAGATACTGTGAATAATGTAAGACAATAATTAATATATATAATAATAATAATAATAATAATGTGGTATATTTGTTCTAGTAGCTTAATATTTTCGTAGCGAATGCATTTATAATGGATTATTTCGTATCGTTTTATTCGTGAAATGAATTCGAGTTGTGATAGCGAATTAGATTCAGTTCCATTAACAATGTACAATAATTTTAAAATTAAAAATAACTTGTATGCATGTTTTTATTATGCTAGGCCTATCTTCAGATACAATTGCATGGATCTTTAAGGCCGACGGAAGCAGATAAATGAAATGTGACAGATGAAGCAAACAGGTCACTTTGATAAGCAACCTTTCTATTATTGACAACAATGTGTCCCTCATCGAAAGGGGCAAATTATTAAGTAAGTATATTTTTGGCAGTTTTAGGTCGGATTAATCCAATTAGCGATGTTGCCAGGTCTTCCCGTTGTCTTTACTTTTCTCGCCTTTACTTCGCAAGAAGAGAAAGTATTGTGATCGTGCGTCGGAAAAAAACTAATTCTCGGCAGAAATACTCTTATTGCCGGGCTCTTAAAAGGGAAAAAATTGATAAATCTTGTTACTGTATGTATAATAAAATAATTATTCTAACGCCTGAGGTAGTCAAAATTCATGTTTTGAGGGTTCTTGATACCGAAAAATCGATTAACGGCAAAGCGTCTCTCAGTCCTTCAGTCCAACCGTCAGTGGTCAACGCTGGCGCCTTAACCGTTTTGCCGATTTTCTCCAAAATTGATATTCTCCAATCGATTTAAATGAACTCAAGGCTCTCTGAATTTGAAACGGTTATTATGATTTTTAGGGTACTTTACATAAAGTCTTAACAATATTTTCATAATGCTCGCAAATAGCTCCAAATTTTTGGATACATTTTGGACCTCGGATATCATAACGGTACAGGTATCATTTTGGCTGAAATCGTTTTTTTCAAAATTGCAAAAGTTCAATATGTTTTAGTATTCCCTACAATTAAAACATGGAAAAACAAGATTTTTTAAATGGAATCTTCCCTTTATAAACTACTCTGGAAATAGGTCACGTGCAATATTTCGAAAATATAAGTCCTTTTTTTGTAATTGAGCGTGAAATATCGGTAGTTACTTTTAAACAATAATTTTCTCAAAAAACAGTTCTGTTTTTTCATTTACTTTCCTCCTTGTATGTAACAAAAGACAGCAAAAAAGGTGCTAAACTCATTTCCGGCAAATTCTGTATTAAAAAACTGCAACAATTGAACATTTCAAAATTGAAGATAGTTTTTTTCTTTTAAACAAAATCTGTTCTAAAAATAAGTTCTTTAAACATCGTCATGTACAATCTTTGAATGCGAGTGGTTTTTGCCCAATGCCTTCTTGAAATTTTTGCAATTTGTAAACAAAATGTTCTCAAAACCACTCCAAATTCGTTCCTTAAATTTTCTCCTCGTATGTATTGTAATGTCAGCTATCTCAGTGGCTTCTGCTGGATTCCATTTTAACGAGTGGATGAAGAAAGGGCGTTGTTGCAGGTCATGAAAACACAAAAGTGCAGATAATAGAACTGACTTAATTTAATTTATGCTTCCAGAAGGAAATTTACAAAGATTAGTTCTAAAATTACTCTTAATGCTGATGAAAAATTTTGTTACCGGTATGGGTAATCAGGCTAATGCAAGGACACGCTAATTCAAATAAAACATTATTCAAACAAGATTCTGTGGATTTAGCTCGAAGAGCGTTATTTTAGGCCCCAATGCGTGGATTTACAGCTCGTTATGTCCGCTGGGTTCGTGGAGGTCGGCGACCTCAACAGCAGGGCACGTTGCTGCGCCAAGGGAGCGTCCGTCGGGAAGGGGTTGACCGACGCCGACCACAGGGACGCGCCGCAGTGGGGCTGGCGTGCCTCCGCTCCGGTGAAGGGAGCGGGCCTCTGACTCGCGCAGGCGCCCTTGTCCCACTTTCACCACTCGGTGTCTTCTCTTTACCGTTTAGGGCGCCGTGGCAAAGTCTATGGATATTGCGTTTGACTTAGATATTCAGGAGAATTCGCAGATAAATTCATAACTTGAATTTTACGGTCATCGTGAATAATTTTGTTGAATAACCACTTATAATTTCAGTTAAATCTGAGTGAACGGAGGAAACTTCCACTAGTGTCTTGCACGCGACAATGAAAAATTTACATGGCCCAACTAGGGCGACCGATTCCACTGCGTCCTCCCTCCGATATCTATCACGCCAAGCCCATCTCACCTATAGCCCCCTCACGTAATATTTTTTTACGGCATGCCCTCGGTTCACTCTACAAGACTTCCCCCAACCCTTCAAATATGTTGGGTCCCAAATTCATCTCTTCCCTGAATACTCGCTGTCTTATTGTATAAAGCTTGCTACGTCGTGTTCAATTCCCCACCGATCACTGGTCGAGCGTTCATGGAATTTTCCTTCCCTGACACTCTCAATAGTTGATTCTCATCGCACGTGGGCAACTGACCGACACTTTGCAATCTGCGTTAACTTCATCATTATATTACCCAATTCATCATCTCCGGGGCCTTTTCTTATGTTAGGAACTGGAAAGAGGGTGCGTCCGAGAAGAGTGTGGCGAGCGGGTGTAAACAAATACGACCCAGAGGCGAAGCTTCCTCAACATCGGTGGATGCAGGCTCGGGCGGGCAGTTGTAAATACAGGGCGAACGGGCCCACGTGCTTTTCGGTTGATAGCAAACAAAGTGCTTTGTAAATCTTACAGAACGTTTCCTTACACGCAATCGGATTTCACATGAAATTACTCTGGTTGTAGCTCTGATCGAGTATGTGCCGCGACAGCATCAAAGGGATTGTTTATTACTGCGCAGTAAAGCAAGGGTTTACCGAGGTTGCACACTTGCACATGACGATTTGCATTGAGATATAGAACCCATGGGGTATTGGCCACTGGTAGCTACTATTCGGCTGCCTGCCTTTTGACAAGATTTGCTTCGCCAGGTAGTCCTTCATTTTGAGAAGTGGGTGCACGCGGCTAATGGGGGTGGGCGGCGATTTTACGACTGGTGCCAGAGGTGGCTTCAGCTCGAGGCTGACGAGGGGTGGGAGTGGCTTTGAGGGGTTTCTTAGGCAACGTTCTGCCAGAGGGCTTCAGCGCCCCGAGACTGACCCGAGGGGCGGAAGTGGCTTTGACGAGTTTCTTAGGCAACGCGCTGCAGAGAGGGCTTCAGCTCCAGGCTGCGGCGAGTGGCTTTGAGGGGATTCTTAGGATAGGTTCTGCCAAGGGCTTCAGCGTCAAGACTGACGAGGGCGGAGTGTTCAGAAGGGTTTCTTTGGCAACGCCGGTGCCCAGAGGTGGCTTTCAGCTCCAGGCTGACGAGGGGCGGAGTGGCTTTGAGGGTTTCTTACGGAAAACGTTCTGCCAGAGGGCTTCAGCGCGAGACTGACGAGAAGCGGGAAGTGGCTTTGAGGAGTTTCCTGAGCAACGTGGTGTCAGAGGGGGCTTCAGCACGAGGCTGACGAGGGGTGGGCCTGGTTCTGGGGTTTCTTAGGCAATGCGGTGCGAATCTATTTTGGGTGGGAGGGCGCCAGCGCTTCTCTGCGTCGCACAAGCTTATTTATATCTCGTACAGTTTTACTTTGATGTTAACAAGAGCATGCATTGCAAGTGTTTTGTTGAGTTACGTATATACCGGTAGCTGGTACGCCTAGGTTATAAACATAAGTTATATAATGCTAGCTTGAGATTGATTAATTGCGAACAAAGAGCCGAACTCAAAAACTGTACGCAACAGACGATATAAATAAGCTGCGTGACCCATATCTTAGAGACTCAGCTATAGCAATGAAATCTAGCGGAGTGAGTTTATCTTAACATGTCACTTATGGCAAAATTTTACCAAATTTAGAAATTATTTATTATTCTATCTGCAAAATTGATTCACTAATTAAAAAGCACCTGCATTTATCATTATTTCGTTGATTTTTCGGGCCACAAATATGTTGGCCAAAATAGAGATTTCCGTATTTCGTAGAGAATTGAAGTCTTTTTCAATATGGAGATTTTCGGAGTTACATTGTCGCAGTTTTTGAGGAAGTTTGGCTCCAACATTTTTTGAATATTTGCCATTTGAATAATTTTCCTGAACGTCCTAAAAATGTTCACCTATTTTTCACCATGTATTAAAAAACGTATGGATTTTTGAAAACTACTCATTGCCGGTACTTTGAAGTAAATGTACATCTGCAATGTACATTTCAACGACGTGAGAGATATTGGAGAGAGTAGTAAGTGGAACTAGGCCATCTTTATGAGTGTATTTTTGTCTCTTCTTGCAAGAAATGGGGATCAATAATTGAAAAAATATGAAAATGACTTAGGAGTTTCATGTGAAGTACCCCAAAAAATTAAATAATTCTATAAAATATCGCAGGACTTCAAATTGGGTCAAATGATCAGATTAATTTTGACAAAAATACTACTAATAAGGCGCTATTGTTTTCAGACGGATAGTCAAGCATAGAGACGGACGGATTATTAAAAAAAACTTATATTTCGGTATTAAGGAATCACCAAATATGTTTTATCTGCTACTTATTAAATAAAGTAATTTATGTGCAGGAGCAAGAAAAATCTTCTTTTACGATATCAGGAATCCACAGAACGAGTTTTTCTTTAGAGAAAACGGCTCTTTTCGCGTTACATAACTTTAAGTAGCATTATATAACTTATTTTTATACTACGTATACTACCGGTTATATACGTACGTATACGAAAACATAAATATGCTCTTTAACTCAAAAACTGTACGAGATATAAATAAGCTGTGTTGGAACATCACGCAGCTTCTCGCATTATTAACGACTACGCAGTATTAAAACACATCAATTTTTGTCCATATTAACATATATCACTTAACATTTGTAAATCTCATTATCAATCGTAGTGCATTAGTTGAGTAAACTCATTCTTTCAATTTGGATATTGAAAAAATTACGCGTAACTAGTAATCGTTTTTTAAAGACGAAATTACCTTATTTGAAGAGAAAAAAATCAAGAATAGATTTTATTAAGAATGAAATCTCTAACATGAATATTGTATTTAGGAATATTAATTTTTTGCGATTTTCAAAAATACAGAGTTCACCGAAAATGGGCCTTGTGCCATTTTGATAAGCTTACTTTGCTCTATATATTTTAAAATGCCTTTACTTCAAGCAACAATTATGCGAAAACCACAGGTTGTTTCAAATAAACTACACATGGCTTCAAAGATATATTTTTTAAACATTTCATTAAAGAAAAATCTATACCAACTGTATTATAGGTTTGCAATATTAATTTTTGGAGATGTCCGAATTCGAGTTTTATATCCCTTATTTTCTCCACTCGAGAGAAATAAAGAGGAAATTTGGAGACGTTTGAGCGAAAATAATTTTTCAATTGCCGGTATTTCATGTATTTCATGTTAAATTACGCGTCAATATCAGAATTTGCTGTCTCTTCAGCAGTAAATCTATAGCTGACCACTTCACTGAAACCATAATGTCTTAAAAACTAATAACTTTGAGTGAGTGATAAATTATTCATCCACGCAAAAAAGAACCTTCCTATCTGATGTATCGTCTCGTGCAGATCGTGAAAATAATGAACTTTCAACTGAAGGGAACCTTAGTTTGACAGCAGCAAAGAACTAGTGCTATAGAATAGCACAGACTTTCCCGTATTAGTTTTCTATTTCTTCTGGTTTCGGTTAGCTATTCGAACTTGCCACATATTCTTGCCTGCTGCCATCTATCGCCGCGCAAAGTATATTTTTAAAAAAATTTTCTAATTGTTCCGTTTCCTAATTGTAGAGCAGAAATATTATTTTAAGATTATTAAAGAACAGTAAAACCTCGTCCTAAATGGCAATTTTCTTTGAAAAATTTGGAGCAGTTTTTAAAACACCGGTGTTTAAGTACTAATGTAAATTCGAAATTTGAAGCTCTTTTTCAGAGAACTTCTTTGAGTTTTCGAAAAAAATAATTTGAAGCCATTTTAAGTACTTTAACTCACAATAGTGTGTACAAATTGCTGGAGATTTGGCGGCGTGAGAAATTTTTCCAAAACTTTACATTTGAGTAATTTTTTAAAAAATAAAACAAAAAATACACACAAATTAACTTCACGTCATATTAATGACTGCAATTACCACTATTCTTTCGAAATGTTTGAAGAAAAAATTGGGAGTCGTTTTTGACAATATGGCGTTTGAACGTTTCTGCAAATGCGGAGTTTTGAGCTAGTTTCCACAGAAAACTGAGTTTTCGAGAAACTTTATGTGACATTACTTAAAGCACATGTACTCACAAATAAAATAATGTCAAAAATTGTGGCTATTATAAATATTAATGACATGACAAGGAAGTAAACGAATTACATTTTTGTATGTTGTTATAACACCACTAGTTTATTATCAAAATTAATTAAAATGTGTATTAAATTATTTTCTTATGGTACTTATCAGAAGCGATACTCGCCGAAACTACCAAGAAATTGCGCACAGAGCACCCTCCGCCGCGCCGATATCATAGAGGAAATAATATTCTTCTCTGCCGAGAACAGCCGAGATTGTGTGGTTCCGACAGTTCAAATCCGTGATAAAGACCTTCGTATAGATTTCACAAGCAGATAAAGAGCGAGCGCTATTGCAAGCTAGCGAGAACGATCGATAATAAAGACATTTTGTCCCGCACTAATTCATACACAATAGTTATGTATGCATCAAGGGCGTTACAAGTGTTCGAATGATCGATTTGTGACAAAAGCCCCCGGGTCAAAGGCCTTTGGGCCTAGATCATTAGAGAGAGTTAACGGACATGGTACATACATTATTTGTTTACCTACTTTTAATTAGTCATACTTATTTACTAACTAGTTATTAATTTGTACTACTTAGACAAAGGAGACTGAAAAAAGATCTAGAGTTAAACGGAAGTGTAAATAATAATCACAAAAGAGATTATAAAGTACGAATGACTATTGAATATAAATAAATTTATTTTTGTTTTAATGTTAACCTATCCAATTCAAATGTATGTGATACATGGGGTGACCATTGATTTTTTTGCGGATGATATTGATGGAGGGTTAAGGATCGTAGCGAAAGCAATTTGAATTGGAAACTGCTCCCGTCAATTTCAGGCGATGCTGTAGTTCCTTAACAAATGTGCCACGGATCACGCACGATCTTTACTTCCTCGTTCTTGTACCATCTCCCATTATACACATACCCAGACACATTTTATATTACAGTACAATTTATAGTATAGTACACTAGACTACCACGTATGGAAGAAAGAAGAGTCGGCAGTTTAGAATGTGACCCGGCTGGGGCGGTGCCACTGCAGCGGATGTACCAGGAGGACGAAACCTCACAAACCGCCATGTAGGTCGGCGCCAAACCTCACATTCCAGCGGGAAAGGAACAGCCAATTTCCGAAGTTTGAGTATAACATGCACTATACGTACGGTACTAATGACCATAGAATTGGCGCTTTTGAAAACCAAAATAATAAACCAGTTCACTGTAAATCGGTTTGTTGTCAAAAGTATCTCCGATCTCAATGTATTAAAGATTTTCTCGAAAGAAAAACAATTATATTTCATAAAATGTCAAATAGTTTAATGTCGCATTGAATTGGAGTTTCCGCGCGTTGCTGACCGTACGTTTTGCGCAGTGCACCGAAGTGGGTCCCCAAACATTAAAGATGCAACTGAATATCCAAAATTACAATCAACTGAAGAACTAACAATTGAAGAACACCACTTGGGGTATTTTGTAAAAAGAAACAGGTTTTAATGTTACAGAACGTACGGTTTTTTGAGTTATGCTTATTCGTGTTCTGAAACAGACCTTTAAATGGGTTGCAAACTACATTTCCTCTTGCCAAATTTAGAGGCATTTAAAAAAAATCTTTAATATTTATAAAGTGGAACTGTAAGTCGTCATAATTTTGTAAACTTCTCTTTCTTTTGATATCTCATGTGTCAAGATTGAATGTGAGAGCTTCCAAAGTGATACTACAGGAATAATGCACTGGAGATGTGTTTCTATCAAAACTCGATAACTGTTAGACTCACAATACGTAGTGAAAACTAGTTTGAGGTTTTCAGAGATTGGTAATATTTACTGATACAAATCAGAACTATCCTAGTTTTTTAAGTGAATCGCGATTTGACTGACAATTTTTGTTAAAAATTGAATTTAGTTGAAAATACAACTTTGGCTGAAACGTAACAATTAATTGTGAATAGTTGTATAACAGAGGATGGTCTTTAAAAAGTCAGCTTTAAAATTTTAAGCCAAATTTCATTAAAAATATTAATCTCAACACAAGATGAAATTTAAATGAAATATAACAAACCTACGGTTTAAATACTTTTAGTTTCAGAATGCAAGTAAAACACTTGGTTCCTTAGTTGTTTATAAACACATTATTATGCATTTATTGCAGACTCCTGGAACATGGCACAGCTTATTAGGTCTAAAGTCGAATGTAAAATCCTACAACCCATCATTACTTTTAAATTTGCATGTTGAAGACACGGGATTGGCAGATTGGAAGGTAATTGATGACGTGGTAAAGAAAATGTTTGTTTGTTTTTGTTAATTTTTGTTTACGACTGAAAAATGTATTTTGCAATTCAGGAAAGTACCCTCAGCATTTCTCCAGTATCGAAGTTTGAGGTACCCCTAATGTCCTTCCCCAAAAGCATTATTTATAATGAACCTCAGCAGCTGTTGACCAGTACTTTTTTAATGACTCTCTCTCTGGAATCTGCAGGCGATTTACATCTGGTAAGCGTAATTTGACTTTTAAAAATTTATGTCAATCATTATTCTTACTTCCAACTCTTTATTACAGCTTGCTGAATCTCCGAACCAATCAGATGGAATATTCGCATTGTCTTGGGATATTATGGGCTGTACAAAACAAGAAAGAAAAATATGTGAACTTTCTTCACTTATCTTAGATATTGATTGCAAATTTACAGTGAAAGTACCTGGTTATTTGGAAAGCTTGATAGATTACCTTCAACGCAAGGATCTTGCTGTCATTGCACTGACATCAAATGGAAATGAAATTGCATATTGTCATGTTAATGGGAGCTATTTAATTTCAGAAGACGTACTACGAACTTTTCATTATGAACAGTCTTATAACGATGTGTTATTTACAAGAAGTCGTTGTTATTTCACTAAAATAAGCACTAATGAAATACCTGTTTCAGAATCAGGTTTAAGTCCGTTTATAGACACTGCTTTAACAATTCAATATTTATATGATGATAACAGAGTTGTAGGGCAAGGAGAAGGTGAAAGTTGCAATGCGGATCTCTCCCTTTTTGAAACTAGAAGTCTTTCAACAGATATTAATGGAATGGTCAGGAATCACAAAGATATGCAAATTTCTGATGTAGATACTGGCCTCCAGTCCCGACAGTATAGTGAGCATGAATGGTTCGCTATGAATTTCACGCTGGAAAGTATTCAAGTGAACACCACATCCTTGGGAAATAGATTTTACATCAGGTATGATTGTTAAGTTACTATATTTCTAAAGTTTGTCTTCTGTTTAAGTTAATTTGTATCTTCAAAATATCAATAATAATTAACCATTTTCAAAAACATGGTTTCTACATTCCTGAACTTGCATAATCACCATACTTTGGCATGAACTCGTTCTAATATGCGTTTTAAATGATTCAAATTTCAATAACACAGGTTACACATTTGGTTAAGTTTACGTTATGAAAACGTTTACAAATGCAAATACTTGTTTCTTGAAAACTACATTAAAATTTACTCCATTTGTAGAAATATTTATAAATAACATTATACAGTGTTTATTTTGTCGTTCGCCGAAAATTCGGGTCGTGCCACTCGGACAGTCGAGGGCTCATTCACCCATTCGAAATACTTACCCAACTCCCTTGCTGACTCTCGAGAACTGCTTAACTTACCACAAAGAAGATGCTAAAAGTGGTGTCCTTTTAGAATGTTCTGATGGTGCTAGAATACGTTATTGGCACCTCCGGAACTTATTCTGATTCACCCTTTGAAGTACGTCTCGAGGAATTGCTGCGATTTTCTCTTCAATAGAGCGCCGGAGCTCATCCTCCGAATGCGGGGTTTCTGCATACACCTGATATACTGAGTACCCCAAAGGAAAAAGTCATAAGGAGTCAGATAAGATGATCTAGGATGCCATAACCCACGACTAAATTATTCTATCGTCACCTTAAACATTATTTTAAAAGTTCATGGATCGAGCAGCAGAAGTGGCAGAATGTGCAGTAGCAGTTGCCGAATCCTGTCGAGAGTAACAAAAGACTCCCCAAAGATTTTCTTGGAGATTGTTGTGATCTGGCAGAGATTTTTTTTCACATTCTCTTCTGTCAGGATATGGCACTTTTGTTTGTCAATTAAAATTCTGTAGGTGCGAAGTTTCTTTACAAGCTTCAAAATTGTCGACCGATGCCGAATATTCACGCTCGAAAATTTCTTAATAAACCTCTTGCGGCACTTACTGACAGACTTAAGTAGAACGAAAGTGTCGTAACGTTCTCTGCTCCAAAGAAAATTTCATGATGCACAGTTGAACAGGGACACTGGTGTATCGGCTGGTCGCGCCGAACGACCAACGCTGAGACAAGCGGCGCGTCATCTTCGGCGAAAGATAAAATAAACACCCTTTATATATAATATTAAAAGATGAATTAATTAGTCTATTTATAATCAATTTCATCTCAAAACAGAAGCGTTCTTGTAAGGCAGTAACGTAGTGTGGCTTTCATACCAAGGGAAGTAGTCGTTTTCACCGAAGGATCGCATAATTGTAATCATGAGGATGAATTCAGGATGCATATTTTTAGTTGATAGGTATGAGGAAATATACTTTCATTGAATTTCAAAATTCCCGCTGTATAAGCGACGCAAAACGGTACGAAATGGCTTTAAAGAGCCTTCCCTTGAGACCTCTCTTTTCGTCCGTGATAGGGAAGTTTCTTTTAACTATTCTAGCACGTGTCACTGGGCTTCTTTCGGTGCCTACATCCGACTGTATCCTACGTTTCACCGCTCGTGCCCGCTAAAGTGTTGTCATGCGTCTTCCTTCTACAAAATATAGTAAATTACTTCCTCGAATGTGTTGTGTAGTCAGAATCCATGTTCTGTGCAACCCTGATACCAAAAAATTGATTAACGGTCAAACGCCTGTCTGTCTGTGTAGAGTCAACGCTAACGGTTAAACCGTTCAGCTAATTTTCTCCAAAAAGGGTATTCCTCGGTTGATTTATAGGATACTCAAAGCCCTGCGAGTTTAAAACAGATATTTTGATTTTCAGGAATACTTGACACGAAGCCTCAATGTCATTTTCGAACTTTCTCGAAAATAGCATCAAATTTTTACTTAATCTCTAAACTTTGTCATCGGAGGGGGTAAAGGCTTCTTAAACAATGGTGCATGTCTCGTTTTCGTTCAAATCTCTAATTTTTCGAAAATTGCACAAGTTCAAACTTTTTGTCAGCATCTTCCTACATCTACTTTTCTATTGAGGATAGATATTTTTTCTTAATAGAATCAATTCTTTAATGACATGTTGAGATAAGGTCATGTACCATTTTTCAAAAATGAATAGTTTTCGCGTCATTTTGCGTGATACATAGGAAATACCGCTTCAAATTGTTTCTTTAAATTTTCTCCTCGTATGTTGAACAGTAAAAAAAATGTTGTTAGTCCTATTTCCAGCCAACAGTAGTTTCGAAAAATGCAAAAAAGTAACATTTCAAAAATATACTGCTCAATCTAGATATTTGTCTTCAATGAAATCCGTTCTGAAGATTCAGATCTTTGAAAACAGTCATCTACATTTTTAAATCGATTATTTTGATGATTATTATAATAGATGCTTGGAGTTAATGCAAAATATGGAAAAATATTTTTTTCAAATCCTCTCCAATTTTTTCTCGCTTTTAGAACTAGGAACGCTTAAAAGAATTGCACATATATCATTTTCGTTGATCTCTCTGAATTGTCAAAAATTGAAAATTTAGAAATATTATGTGTTGTTGTATTACCACTAGTTTGAGTATATCAAGTCCACACAGAGTTTGAATATTTTCTGTTCTTGTAGTCCTTTTTGTGCAGGCTCCGAATGCCATGCTCTTTTTTCATCGTATACAACGTTTCCAACTGCGCAAATATTATCTACAACGACAGATACTAAAATAACATTGTAACGTGTTTATGCACCCACTCGGCTGTAACAGAACGCCGGACTTTCCACAAAGGAATTACGCATGGGAACTATTTCAAATGTTTTTCTAAGAATCCGATTAGCGTTGAAAGATGAAATTATCATTTATAGTTAGGAATGATTCTAATAATAAAAGTTATAAATGAAGAAGCTGTAACTTTTCACCAAGGCAAAGACATGAAAAATAAATTACGCAGAGATCCATCGCTGATCTCCTCTTCCCAATTGGTGTGCAACTTTTAAATACATTGTTAAAACGTTTCGTAGAAAGTAACGCAACGTGTGTCCGCTTTCGTTGCGCAGATTCGAGCAGGCCAACGCCATGGTGGTTTTGCGGCATAGAGAGCCCCTGGTGGTGAAGGGGGTGGGCCGGTTCGAGGCGGTGCGGGGCGTAGCCGCCACCCTGCTGCTGGGGGGCTCCGTGGAGGAGGTGCGGCGCGAGGTGGCGCTGCGGAGGCCCGCCGTGCTGCTGCTGGCGGCGGAAGCGGGCAGAGGGGGCGTGCCGCTCGCCACGGGCCAAGTGGACGCGGCGCCGCTCTTCAAAGGAAAGGTACTTGCAAATAGATGCGCTAGGAGGAAAATTTAAAAAAAAAATTGAAGCGGTATTTCCTATGTATCACGCAAAATGACGCGAAAACTATTCATTTTTGAAAAATGGTACATGACCTTATCTCAACATGTCATTAAAGAACTGATTCTATTAAGAAAAATATCTATCCTCAATAGAAAAGTAGATGTAGGAAGATGCTGACAAAAAGTTTGAACTTGAAGGAAAACGAGGCATGCGCTATTGTTTAACAGGCCTTTACCCCCTCCGATGACAAAGTTTAGATTAAGTAAAAAAATCGGTCCAGTGGCGGCTGTCTTCACACGGCGCCACTCAGCAGCGCTTCGGACTGACGCGACTGCTGGCAAAGCATGTATTTAAAACAGGGGTTCTTAACAGGGTCAGTATCGATCCCCTGAGGGTCGATTGAATTTTGAAGGGGGTCAATTATGATCAATAGGTCGATTGGGGGGGATCTATAGATGAATATGAACCGGCAATTGATAGTTATAATCAAGACCTTGTAGATTACAAAAATAAACGAATTTGATAATTTACTGCTTTCTAATAGAAAGCAACAAAAATGAAAATAAATTACATACGATCTCCTCTTATTCGTATTCGTTGTTCATCCTTAGGCTCATGGGTGTGTGCAACCAGTGCATCGTACCAGTCTCTTAAAGTAAGGGTCGTTAATAAGGACCCCGGCGGATGAAACTTACACGGCCTTAGACCAGGCTATTCTTTCGAACGTAAGCTAGCTACCATTTGTCAAGTCGTTGCTGATTCATTCGACCAAAGAGAAAGAATTGCTGCAATCGTTATAGACGTTTCTAAAGCTTTCGATTTATTTCTTCACGACTGACTTCTAAATACAATTATCGAATCGGAAGTAGATCCACGAGTAGCACATCGAACGCAGGGAGTTTGAATTGATGACTTTGTATCCCACGAAGTTTATGTGACGTCCGGCGTCAGTCAGGAACGCGTGTTTGGGCCACTCCTTTTTATTATGTATATTAATGATATAGACTCCGAAATTCGATCGACCTTCAGACGCTTCGCAGTTGACTGCATCGCATACCGAAAAATTAGAGACAAATCCGACATTGATCAGTTGCAAAGACATTGACGATTTGATCAAATGGTTCCAGGACAACTGAATGAAAAGAAATCCAGATAAAAGCAAAACAGTTTTACGAAGGATCGAACACAGGAAACACTCCACTATACAAAGGGTAGAAATACATTTCCTGAGGAACGTAGCTGTAAATATCTGGGCGTATGAATTCAAACAACCTCAGTTGGACTGATCACTCAAGATGAACTACTACATAGACAACTTGGAAAGCTCATTTTGTAATGCATGTTTTACGGAAATCTAACTGTATCACGAAAATGCATATTTACGTATGTTTGATTCGTCTCATAATGGAAATCGGAGCTTGCTGGGATCCTCATAGGGAATGTCAGATTAAAGCGTTAAACGGAATGCCGAAAAAGCGGTTAAATTCACGATTAGAAACAACGGGATAAATTTCAGTAGGGAATCTTTAGTTACAAGTTAGTAGAAAGGCAGCACGACTATGTGCCCTCTATCAGTGAAAGAGTTGAAATGGTATGTTACTTAAGCAGGGGCGACGCACAAAATAACAGAGCATTCACACAAACTAAAATGCTGAAAGCAAAGTATGTAGAAAAATTCAGCTTTGTGAATAGGACCATTGTTGACTCGAACAATTTACCTGCAGAGGTGCTGGTGACCCTTCCCAGAAGCGCGCGAGTTATGCGTTGGAGAGTTCTTAAGAGCGCAAGTGTACAGGGATGAGCAGTGAAGTGCACTTTACGTGCAAGTTACACTTCTATTTGTGTTTCTATTTTAGTTTTCGGTTGTTTGTATTATTTATCTTTTTTGATATTCGTATGTCTTGTATTTTTTCTATACTTGTTTATTTGTTTTTACTTTTTTTATTGCTTATAATTTTTAATATTTGTATGTAAGGGTTTCTCTTAATTTTTTACTTTGGTACTTTCTCTGTTGATTAATTGCCACCGAACGTGCGATCTTTTGCAGTAATAAATTATTATTATTATTATTATTATTATTATTATTATTTCGATTATTATTACTACTATTATTATTACTCATTTTTTAAATTTATTTACGTTAGCAAAATCATGTTCTGTTTCCAACGTAAACGTTGTCTTGGAAATGAATTAAACCCCATTTCTTGCAATCGATGTTACACTGCATGTTAAAGTTTACCCTCATTCAATAAATATTCCGAAGAGAGAAAATGTATGCATTTGTTCGGACACAGTGCCACCCCATCTAATTTACAACCCACCTGTCGCCATTAGTAGGGCCATATGTTTCTTATGTAAAATTCGATATGAGTATCAGCAATCATATTATTGAATTTTATTTTTCTCTCTTCTTTTGTAAATGTATTCGGGTTACCAATTTACCATATTAGATGTACCAATTTACATGTTAGATGCCTATCTTTTGGCACTTCATTGGGTTGTCATCAGGAAGGATATTTATTATTAATATTGATAAACAGGATTTTCCAATGTCCCTCTCACGAATAATACAGTTCACTATGTATAACTTTCACATCACCATGCAGTAATCAATAATCATAAATTGTGTTTTTCCTTCCATTGTTGTCTCCATTCTTCATCAACTCGCGTATACGTATTACATGCGGAGATATTGTGTAATATTACGGATATATCTTATTATTATTAATGCGCCCTTATCGCCATTATTGTTACATTGCAGATCAACTGCTTGTCTGTGGTGGAACTGAAAAATTTGGAAGGCGTGGCATGTGCGCGTGTAAAGGTGCGGCTGGCTCTAGAGAAAGTGATGGTGACGAGCCGAACGGAGCACGCCAGGACCTCGATCGCAGGTAAGGGGAAGGAAGGAGGCATATTTCTATTCTCTTCACTTCCTTGTTCATTGGGCATATTTCCATTCCTTCGGGGTTTTTCACTGCAAAAATTGCAAGACGAACTAATAGGATACGTTGGTTCAGATTGTCTTAATAGTTTTTGCCATTGCTCCATGCGCTGCAGATTTTATGAGAGCAGAATATTCATGTCAGGTTTTGTGTTACTTGGAAAGCGCAATTAATGCAACAATCAACATTTTCAATAATTCAAACGTAGAAAAATGATTTTATAGACTGAGTGTATTTGACGTTAAATCATTTAAAATAAACTAATTTTCAAAGCAGGAATTTGTATTTTTTGGAATATTTTACAGAAAAATATGGACTTGAAACCGCCAATAGACGAAAGAGGAACGTTCTTACAACTCCATCACGTGTCACCTAGTAGTATTGCACACTTCTCAATTCTATTTACTCTTTTGTATTTTCTCTCCTTAGTGCATAAGTAGTAAAGAGAAAGTGCTGCAGTCGTGAGAGGGAAATTGGCATTTTCTACGAAAAACTCGTATTGAGGGGTCTTAATAAAGAAAAAGTGGATAACTCTAATTCAGTATAGGAAATTACATCCATTAACACTTAGTCCGAATCCATGTTTTGTGGGTCTTTCATACCAAAAAATCCATTGACGGCAAAACGTCCGTCTAACTGACCTAAGCTCTTCAGATGATTTTCTCCCAAATTGATATTTCCTTATCGATCTAAAGGAAATGAACGCACACTGAGTTTGAAATGAATATTTTGATTTTTGAGGGTACTTTACATTAGGTTTCAAAATATTTTCAAAACTCTTTTACTTTATCAGATAGCACAAAGAAATCTTTAAAAAATTGCGGGAGTCTCTTTTTCTTTAAAATCCCCGATTATTTGAAAAATGCAAAAGTTAAAAATTTTCTTGACGTCTACCTATAACTACAATGTTGGAGATAAAGACTTTTCCCCTAATAAAATGTATTATTTAAAGAGAGATTTTTACATCACATCAAGTACAATTTTTCAAATATATAACTAGCTTTCACGTAATTTTGCGTGAAATATTTTCTCGCCGTTACTTTGTAAGAAGAGAATGTATAGTAATCGAGCACTGGAAATAGGCTATTTTTCGACATAAAAACTGTTATTCTCGAGTTCTGGTACCAAAAATAACGGGATGAATCTTGTTACCAAAAAATCGATTGGTGGCAAATTTCTTGTGTCCCTCCGTTTAATTTTTGGTCAACGCTAGCGCCTAAACTATTCTGCTCATTTTCTCCAAAATCAATATTCACCAATCCATTTAAAGAAACTAAAGGTCCTGCGAGTTTGAAACGGATATTTTAATTTTGGGCGTACTTTACATAAGACAATTACATTTTCGGGAATTTCCTAAAAAAAGCCTTATTTTCTTTATTAAACTTTGTTCTCGATTAATTTTGAAGATAAACATTTTCCCTTAACAAAATCTGCTGTTGAAAGACGTCTTAAAATAATAAGTGCTAGCTTTCCCAGGGTAATTTGGAAATCTTAATTAGGGGTGTTGTGAAGGGAGCAGAAATTGTTTCTTTGGTCTCTAATCATCCCAAAATTATGGCGCGTTTTTTTTAGTTTGACATGGGTTCTAGTTTTACTAGGTCCATTTTGATATGTAACTTTCGAAAGGTTTGGAGGTAGCATCACATTTTTTGGGGTGGGTGAAATTAATCCAAACTTACAGCCCTAGAATGTATGAGTTTTGAAAGTGAGAGTTTTGAAAGTTTACCAGCCCTATTTTGATTTCTTGATTTCGAGGTGTTGGGAGATAGCCCAATTTCGTTGCTGGCTAAAGTTAGTCCAGAATTATGACGCTGGAAAGTTTGTGTTTTGGGAATGTAGGGGTTACAGGTTTAGCGATGTTGTTGCGTCGACTGCCGTCCGACGTTGTGACTGGTTGGCCCTAGCTGTGAGGCGCATTCGTTTGAATTGCGGTATTGGAAATGTCTGGTAATTCGCTTCATTTCGGCCGTTTTGCTGTACCGAACTCGTCACTTTCACAATACTTTTCAACACGGTGTGAGACATACCAACGGCTTGCAGCTCATGTGGAAGAGCAACTCCTTCCTTCTGGAAAGCGACATACTTACAGCTCGCTTGTCGTCTATGTTTCGGCAACTCTTTCGTTCTGTCTGATATCAGCAAAATGACATTAGAAATGTTTCGTCATCTAATTGAGGAAAAGACGGTGGCAATTTTCTTTGAAACTGAAATGTTTCATTTGCATATCCTCCCCTGGTCGGCCTGATTCCCATTTGGCGCGTGACAACTCAACTCAGAACGAAGGCGCATGCGCTCACCCCTCCCCCCCCCCACACACATACAAACACACATTCACGAGGTCTACGGTCACGGGGCAGGTGAAAGGGCACTGGATGTTTATGTTTTCAACTATTGCATAAAAAAGAGGAGTTTCTTCTCGCCAAGTATACGAGGTATTTTCAATGATTTTTATTCGGTTTCAGAACCGTATACTATCGAATCACTACAATCCCACTCTTCTGGATTGACCACAAACGTCTCTGAAGATCAGGAAAATTGCGAAACAGATTTATGCACGGAGAAGGTAAGTGATTATGCAGGTTAAGCGATCATGGATCTTCATTCCAGTAGAACAATCTTGACAAAATGACGAACACACCGTTTATACGTCCGACCATTTGCCTGTCAAGAGTTGCTTTGGATCCGACAAGCAAGACCTCGGTACTCTTGAGAATCGTAAGGGCGTAATTCCGTAAACACGTAGAAGAACTAGATGGCATTCGCTATCAGAAAGTTTGAATTGCACTCATTACACAAGATTCAGGAACATATATCCATTCGCTATGAAACATTTCTGCCATTTAAATAAATTTAAGTTAACTCCGGAAAGATTGTCTTATGGTACTGCAAAAATTAACTCCTGTATTGTGCCTTTATTCTTCTTTCGGTTGGGAATTTGTCACGATCTTTCAGCATTTATCTCAAAGGAATCTCACGGTATCACATCACGAGAGCACGCAAAATGTTAATCACATGTGATTAATTTGTCTCCGTAAGCGGCATCTATAGCCCATAGGAAACTGAAGCAGTGTGTGTGGCGCCGGAATTGTGTTTGAAATTATGGTAATTGTGTGCTTTGCATTTTTCAACAATTGGAAGAACCAGAGGTAGGATTTCGGATCTTTTATTGGGGGCAAATTCGGGCGCTATTATAAGCACAAAAATATTCGTTCATGTTAATGCGTTAAGTTATTTGTACTGCAATTATTTACACTATTTTCGATTTTGTTAATTATTTAATTTATTATTATTGAATGTTATTAATTTTATTAGTTGATCTCAAAGGTGACGATCCTCATTGTTATTTCGAGGCTCCAAACTGTAATTTCAACGATGTTTCGACATGTTTCTCAGAGAATCATGTATCAAAATATCGAAAATGTTTATTATTTATTATTGTCACAAATTTTTATACATAACTTTAGGACACATATTTTTAAATCTATATTAATAAATTCTTTTAATTGAAATGCAATCTTCTGTTTTTGGCAAGATCGAAAGTGGTTATAGTTTTATTTGTAGAAGAGAAGGTGATAATATGAACCTCCACATTTATTTTGACATTAAAAACTGAATTAAATGTTATTTTTTTAAAACTTTATTAACTGTTGAGAAAGTGAGTAAAAAATTAATCCAGAAGAAGTGATGTTTGAAAAACGTGTGGTGCCACAGACTGGGACAGACTTTCTCGTATGATTTACCATTTCCTTTGGCCTGGGCTAGCTATTTGGACACGTCGCATACTTTTCCCAGCTGCCATCTATCGCCACCCAAAGTACATTTTTTGAACATTTCTCAATTTTTATGTTTTTTAGTAGAAAAAATGAAATATTACTTTAAGAATATTAAATAACAGTAAAACCTGATCCTAAATGGCAATTTTCATTGGGAAATTTTCTTTGTAGTCTTATTGTAACGTTTCTCCGTGGTGAATTAAAACATACAATACTTAACAACAACGTTTATTTGTAAACAATGCTACACTAGAAATACTTGATTTATTTACAGATATATTACACGGTCCTTGCTTATTTTCCTTAAACACGACTCCGTTCTCTTGATTATTTATTTACACAGTTCACCTCTTCTCATTATTTATTTACACTGTTCACAGCAATCTCATTATTTATTTACAATGTTCATTTCTTCTACACTAACGCACAGTCCGATGGACTGTCTACAGTCCACTGCGCAGACCGCAATTCACAGCGCAGTCCACAATTCACTGCGTAGACCACAATTTCACTGCGCATACCAGGGTCCACTGCTCTGCTGTTTACCGCGATGCACACTTCTCAGCTCAGCTTCCACTGCAGACTTCAAACTGCTGACTGCTGTTCCCCTCCTGCACCACTGTCTACCGCGATGCACGCTCAGCTTCCACTTCAGACAAACTACTGCATACTCACACTGACGGACAGACTGCTTACTACTTCTACTACTTGACTGACTCGCGGCCGCCAGCAGCGGCGAATTTATACCTGGCCGGCGCTCGTCTGGACACAACCGGCACTTGATTCACATTTCTACGCGACTCGCGAATAGCCCGGAAACGTCCAGTTCGGGGGGAATGGGGGCGCCGGCAGATGACGCAATCCGCGCAGCGAATCCCAGCAGATTATGCAATATTCGTTACAGTATTTAAGAAAATGGTGTTCAAGCGTTACTGTAAATGCAAAATTTGAACCTCTTTTTCGCAGAAAATTTTTCAGTTTTCGAAAAACTTCATTGAAAGTCATCTACAGCACCTTATCTCAGAAATGCAGTAGTGTTTACAAATTGCTGGAAATATACTTATTAACGGTGTGAAAGATATATCAAAAAATTACATTTGTGTTATTTTTGAAAAAACAAAAGAATATCCCAACATCAATTTTATGTCGTATTCAACAGTGTATTTAGCATTATACGTACAAATACTTTGAGCTATTCGAAAACTCAAAACATTTCTGTGAAAAATACCTTTAAATTTCGCATTTTCAGTAACGCTTAAACGCCATTTTCTTAAAACCGGCTCCAAAGTTTTCAACCAAAATTTCCTTATATTACGAGGTTTTACTCTTCTTTAATATTCTTAAAGTGATATTTCGATTCTATCGTATTATATTCTCACGTTTTGAAGTCCCTTGGTACAAAAAAAAAATTCAAAACGTCCGTCCGTCTGGTGTAAGTGAACAACATTTGCACCTAAAGTATGCGTACGGAAACTGAATAATGCTCTGTCTATCTGACGAGTTCTGCGGTTTCGAAAAACATTAATTAACTTACTTTACATGAAGCTCTCGGAACAATTTCAATTTTTTTTCAAAAATGGGTTATTTTTCTTCTTTAATTTCATGTAAAAAGAGAGTGAAATACATTTATAAAGATGGCATAGGTCCGATTTTCACTGATAACTCTGAATTTTTGAGAATTGCAAGATATTGTATTTTTCGGCGTCTTCCTACAAGTACAAAATTGAAGATATAAATATTTATTTTAGCTAACTTTTTTATCCACAATTATTTCTTTCGTTTAGATCATGCACGTTTTCTTGAAGATTTTATTAGTTTTTGCCTAATATTGCCAATATGAGCAGTATTTTTAAAAATATCAATATTTTCTCAAAAACAACTCCAGATTTTTTCTTTAAACTTTGGTATGGATAGTGTTAAAAGTACGAGCTTAAAAAAATATTGTTCGTCTAACTATTATTATATTTCTTCTCAACATACAAAAAACAAGTAAATTTGTATATATAAATTTGAGCGCCATGAAGTGTCTAAAAATATATTTTTTTAATTTGTTCCAAGATTTTGGAGTTGCCCGTCTTCAATTCCGCCTCTGGGAAGAATGTTTTCAGGAAGATACGCACATAACTGTTCGAATTAAACGTTTTCGTAGAAAATAAAGGCCCAATTATAATGTTACCACTGATAGCTATAGATGAGTTAAACCCTAAAAACTAAGAGTGCCCTACTCAAACCCTTTCTTCTTGAGAGTGAACATGCAGAGAGCCGTCAAAAATTGACAAGTCCTAGTACAGTAGGATGTTTTCCTATCTGTTGTTAAAAGACGTTAAAACGTAATGTACAAAATTTCGGAAATATGAGTTGTTTTCGATTTTGCTCAAGTATTTGATCGCAAATGACACCAGGGCCTATTCGTAACACAGGAATCACGGACTACTTGTTCAAAGTAATTCACAGCTTCATAAACGATTGCTCATTTTCCATCATAACAAATTATTACATTTCACATCCAACAAACATTTCACGCTGGGGTCCCTCGAGACTCCCCTCTTTCTCCTACATTGCTCAGTATCTTCACTGCTGACATCCCCTATGGAACCAATCCCTCAAGGGCAATATATGCGAATGACACAGTAAATTTATATATCATATACAAATAAATAAAGCATAAAAAGCCCTGTTCAAATTATATCGCCTAATAAACAGAAAATCCACTCTCAAAACCGATATTACACTGTTTTTATGTAAATCTGCCCTCCACCCACTTCTAACCTATAGTTGCCCCTCTTGGGGAGGAGCTACCCGAAGTGTAGTAAATTACTAACTAAGACATTCTTTGTGGAGAATCAGAGACGATTCAGAGACATCTTGCGGAGATCCTGAAACTACGAACTTTGACCTCGCTGGAGGCTGTCACTATATATCAGGCGCTTTGAGAACCTCTTTGCAAGTTTTTTGTCGAACGTTTTCTGATCAACAACGGAGCAACGAAGGTGTAGCAAGCCTGTGTAAACACTTGGGCTCACAGTAAACATTCGATTTAGTTTCTCGTGTCTGAGTTGCAGTTAATGCAAGAAAATTGCGATGCGATTATAACGAATGTAATAATGAANNNTATATATATATAAAAATATATATATATATAATTAGATATATTATAATAAAATTTAATAATATTTTTTTTTGTAGCGCAAACATGCAACAACCGGCACGAGCCGCCACTACTTTAAAGTTATAGCTGAAGTGTTTAGGGGCGGAGATTGCAATATTGTTATATCACGTAACCGTTCCCAATAATGCGAAAAATATGTGTTGCTGTATATTCTCTAGTTTCAACGTGTCAGCGTGCATTTTATTTCAGGAATTATTTTGAAAATATAGAAATTCGCCCTAGATAACTCGCTTGCTGACCCATTCAAGTGGCAAACTCTTTGGACCCCACGAATTCAGCAAGATTATCAAATTTGCTGTGTCTGGGACGTGCCCCATTCCTTGATTTTTCACTTTTTGCAATATTGCTTAATGTAGTATTTTGCTAGTTCCATATTTCTCTTGCGTAAAAAAACGTGAGATGTTTGCCTATTTCTTTTGGACAAGAATGTTGGTTTACATTTAAATGTTGGTATTTCACAGCAAACAATAAGTATTTCTCACTTAATATTCTAGTGCGCTATTTTAAAGATGAAGGTCACTATGAGACCAAATTAACAAACTGAAAAAAAAATTGAGAAAATCTTTTGTTCCAGCCGGCCCCTAATCCATCAATATTGGAAGTGGAGTATCAGATGAAACTCCAAGAATGCAGAGAAGCTTCTCGACGTATGGAAGATGATTTCAAACTTGTGGTAAAGAATTGCTATAACAATATTATAATTATTTATATACAGAGTATTTTATGTACGGTACTTGAATTGTTCGAACGAAAAAATGTTGGTTTCCGTAGTTAACAATACGTGAGTTAGTGCAAATGTTCTTCGAGATTATCTTTGTAAATCACGTTTAAAGTCAAGGGCAGACGCCAACTTCAAAACGGTAATTTTTCACCATTCAGTTATTAGCTTCTCGTTTTTGTAGTGTAGGGAAAGTCACACAATGCCTTAAAACGAACGAATATAGAGATTTTGCGGAAATACGTTTTGGGGAACCCTGATACAAGAAACGTGTTTTTCAAACGTCTGTTCATCCATCTGGGTGGCTATCCGTCTGTTTTTCATGAGGTCCGTCTGCTAATCTGTCTCTTTGCTAGTACATCTCGTGCGTCTTTAATTGCATATATAACTTTCCATACTTGACATAAAATTTTGGCTTTGAGAGACTTGACGTAAAATTTAACATACTGAATTTAGTTCCTTCTTTTGTCATTGATACAATACCTACATGTTAATGATCATTACCTTCACCGTGCATAGGTTTTTTTAGCATTCTTTTTGATAATTGTTGTAGGAGTTGAGCCGGTGGCTAGTGGTTGCTATTTTCTTAACAGTACTATAAAATACGATTTGTAGTTAGTTTAACAATGGAATTTTTTTATGGTTTATTAGATCATTACTGTGTGTTTACGGACCTGGAACAAAACACGTAACATTAACTTAATATTCTTACGAGTCTTTGGTTTTTTGATGTCCTTCCGGAATCTTTGCATAATTAATGCCTACTCCGCAACTAACTCAACAATAACACTTTTTTGTGTATTTTATTTCTTATATTTAAGAAACAGGAAAATACAATAAATGAATGGCATAATGCTCAAATATGAAAGATAACTTGTTATAAAAATTATTTTATTGAATTACAATTTGGGACTGGTTTCGTGAATTTATATTTCGCATCAGTCACTCTCATTTCAGTTACGTATCACTTTTTTGAAGACACATATGCTTTTTGAGTAGTAGTGCGACTAGTAGTACGAAATAGATATAGAAGACACATCAGTTAACATCCTCAAAATGTTTGATGAAATGAAATCTAAATAACTTTCAGCAGTAGAAGCAAATAACCTAAAATCACTATTTCATCCACGCAATCTACACTGGTATTTTCCTTACACGAGTAATTCTCAAATACACCATCGTCAACTGCCCGTAGCTTTATCGAGAATTTCCGCAGGAACTTCACAATATTCTTTACTTTGGACGAACAAATCAGTCCAACTACGATTACGAATATTAATTTTAGATAATATCCGCGCACCTTTTCTTGACCGATGGATTGAAGAAATGCGGATAGATTGGGGTTTGTAGTTCGTACGTCGGCCACTAGAGTATTTGAAGCTGGAAAATCATTAATATCTTCTGATGGCGCGGCCAGGTCCGGATGTAATTCATTTCTAAGATATTCCTCTATATATTCAGAACTTTCTTCGTTGTAGATTAATCTAATGGCATAATATTTTCCCTCGAACAGATCTGATAGAAATGGTCTATCCCAGATTCGAACTTAAAATTGATTCTCCCATTTTGTAATGCAAGACAGGTCAATTTCTTGACTTGGAATGCACACTGACTTGTTTGCCTGACGTGAAAAATCTAATTTTATTATAATGAGTTCCTTCTTGTGAAATGTGTCAATGTAAGTAGAATATAAAAAGACAAACATTTTTAATGACTTAAAATACTCTAAATCAACCTTTCATTTGACGATCCGTGGAAAGTTGGTGGAAATAGTATGTAAGAAAAGTACAGTTACACAGGGCATAACAAATTGAATTCCTTAAGCTATATTTCTTTTTCGGTGTTTCTGAGGATTGTAAAGGGTCATTAGCTCTTTTTATCTTTATTCTACATACCGTAGATTGGGGTGACTTTAATATCAGAAGTGACTTTGTTATGTCTTAGACACTCTGTTTATGTGATGTCGCAGCTACTACTCTTGACGTGATACATTTCTTGTGCTGGCTATTTTGAATGTCTATGAACACCAATAGGCATATTACTGTTTTATACGATTCCTAGTTGTGGCTGTGCTTTGTTTTAAAATTCGTGTATTATATTTTGAAGAAATTCGTGCTGCGGAAAATGTCCAAGCTGAGGCCAAGGCATATATTTTATTGAAATATCTAACCAGTTAGTAGTAAGTATGAGTCTTTGGGAGAAAAATAGTGAATAAAAGAATAGTCTAACCTAAATTTCAAAGTTTTGTGATCATTTGGTGAATGAGTGGCTTTGATAACAGTCGAAAGGTGTCTTAGATTAATATTACTAATACTACAATGACAAACATTCAAAAGACAAAGGAGGAAATATTCATGCTGGCCCAAATTGTATGCCTCCTGTGAAACTCCGCGTTTCTTAACACTTCTACTACACTTTTACTATTTCTTATTGTATTCATGTGTATCTGCTTTTATTAGAGCGTGTCAATTAGTCAGACACATATAATACATAGTCATACGCAATTACAAAAACCATTATCACATGAAAACTGAGACCAACACAGAAATTCTGGAATTAGATCTGAATTCAGATGCAGATTCTTACAAAAACAGTGGGTTTTGTTCTTGTTGCAGAAAAAAGTTGCTTTTTGTAGACTAGTGTTATCAGATATTCCAGCTTGTGGAAAAAGGATATCTTTGAAGATGATTTTGAGGACATTTTGGCCATTTTGCAACAAAGGAGTAAGAAAATGACGGAACAATGACTTAGAAATTTAATTATTCTGTAGATGTGTAAATGAATTCTTGTTAGAGATTACTTACGTTAAAGATGTATTTTTTTCTAGATGTGATATTTGAAGTTATCATAATATAAAAGTTATTCCTTATTGGCTGGTATTTCAAACGTTGAAGTTCAGCCATCCCTATCAAAGTCATATCCTATATGTAAGATAAAATTATCGCTACAACACACCAAAACCTTGTACTCCTTTTCCAATTCATATAAATTCGAAATTTTCTCAATATTTTTGCATTGGCCGTTCCTATTCGCCACTTAACTTTCTCAGAGGTTTGCAGTGCCTCTTGTAAAGAATCTGGTACTGCCGTAGCCATTTATTTAGGTTTAATCGAGAGAATAATACGTAGAGAAGAAATCGCCTTTTAAAGCAACTAGCTTTTGTTTCGCGCCAACGAAGTTTCCTTGTTGAGAATGTTGTCATTAATGCTCAATGGGAGCTTTTGCCATCAACTGTCTATTGCTCAAGGAAGGGGGAAGGTAAGCCATCGGTCATGAAAAGTTGCGTGGTTATTACACTCTACTTTGTTTTTCTGTCGCCATATTCACACTTTTCACTTCTGATGCAAGGCAAATTTTAAAATGTTCCGAATTTTTATTTGGACCAGCAAAGAGTAAACCATACAGTTTTGTTTGTACCAAGGAGTCAATAGGGAATAATGCTTTTAAAAATCGACAAAATTACTTGAAGGCTCAAGGAATTATTGCGGAAGAATACTCCATTAGACAAAACAGGTCGAACTGAGAACCTCTATTTTGAGTAAAGATCCACGCTGGGTTGCTTTCTTTGATGATAAAATTTCATGAAAGAAGATTTACACTATTTTAAAACATCTTTTTATTTGTCACTAGTAGACCTGGCAATGCTTCGCTGTTGAAATGTATTACACTTCTCATGCAACTGATCACGTGATTGTTAATCACGTTTTACGCTACGCTCTGCAAAACTTTTAATACATTAAATAGTTTCTCGCGAGTATGGGTTTGTTCTTTTCCCTGGTTTGGACATAATTGATAAGTATTTTATTGTTAAAGCGTTCTCCCTCAAGTTTGGGCATGCATTCGCTATGCCACTGCCTTGGAGAAATTTGATTTACTTGTCCGAGATAATGTTCAAGTAATAGTTCTGGCTGATATTTCACAACCGCAGGGGCAGAATATGCAGCTAGGACGCGCTTAATACTTAAGGGTGCGGCGTGTTGCGTACAACTGCTGTTCAGGGGCCTCTGAGTCGGCATAAACGCATGAAATCACCAAGGCGCGTCTACGTGCGACAGACATGCGCACATTCCCTTTGTACTGGGCCTATATTCTTCGCGGAAGAGCAGCAATAAGTTGACATAGTTTTATCGCAATCGATGAATGGTACGGCAGCGCATAAAATACGAACAAACAAATAAACATTGATTTTTATTTATTAGATTCTCGACATTCCAAACTTTAGACAAAGAATAAGACCTTATATGACAAATCTTCTCGAAGGAACATTTGCACCATTTTGAGACTCCTTTTCTTTATCCACTTCTCGACATTCCAGGTCTCCAGACTTCAGACAGAAAATAAGCACCTCTTAGATCAAATTTCATTACAAGAAGATGAAAATGATCATCTTTTGAGGATAAAACAAGACTTAGAGAAGGAATTGGAAAAGCTAAAAAGAAACAGTTTGACGGAAGGTCAGATAGCTGGTATCTTGAAAGATCTCGTAAGTATTAATCATTTAAAATACGCTGGTTAATGCGCTAATAAATTAAGTTTATTATGATTTTTCAAATGGGTTGTAAATGCATAAATAGATCAATTTAATGCCAATTAGTCAATGTGCCTTAAAGCAAATCAAGAATTAAAAGAATATGAGAGTTTAAGACGCCACAAAAACAAGAACAATTCTCCACAGAAACGTTAGAATTTACGGTAAATCAAATACTAATATCGATTAAAATGCATTCAGAAAATTGTATAGAAATCCTTGTTCCAAATGCAAAATTCTTGACTTAATTGAAAGTCATTTTCGACTTGACCTGAAGAACACGTATGCATGAGTTGTAACAAACAGGGGTAAATATCACATAAATAAGCTTTCAATGTGAATCTGTGCATCCGAGGGAATCATTTATTGCTAATATTCTGAGGAGCATTCATGTCTACTTTTTTTGGAAATGACTCACTTTGCACACTAATTTGTTTTTCCGAATTACTTACATTCCAGCAAATGTATGGCAAAATGTTAAACACAATATTTCAATTTACGCAACTGTTGAATTTAGAATTATAATTTGTATTGAAGATGCTACGATTTGTAAAACCTTACTTTTTTAATGAATTCTGTAAATAATGTTGTGTGAGTAGTCGTGTAAAAATCAAACTCAAAATGTTCTCGTAAATTAACATTCTGAGGCACTCTGATACCGAAAAAGTGCATTCTTTCAAAAACGTCCTTCGTAACCATAATTTTGTCTGTCCGTCTGTGCCTAAAAAACGTATTTTCCATTTCAGTTAGAACTAGGGCCCGCTATTTGGCAGCAGATAATGTCAGCCCAATTTAGTTTTCCACGCGCACTTGGATAATTCCAATTTTGATTTGTAAATATTACTTTTCAGGAAAGAGCTTTTTTTAAAATTACTTTCCACTAGATAATACTAGCATAAAGTAATTGCAATTTCCCACTGTAACGTATGCAAGCTTGTACGTACATCTTGTCTGTTTAGAAACTAGCCGAAGAGAAATACGAAATAGCTTATCGGTCAAAAATATTTTTTAAAGAGCAATGGGCGAGAGCAATGCGAGAAATACACAACATCAAGGCCACATACAGAGACGAAATAAACATGCAAATAAAATACAACAGAGAAGAGTTGAGGAACTTTGGGTAAGTTCAGAATTGATTTTGTACGTTTATTACTTGAAATAGTATCAGATATAAATCAGATAATAAATATTTCCAACAAACTTTTGTTGCATGCTGAACAGCTCCTTCAACTTGGAGAAAATTGATAAGTAGATCTACAATCCATTGATATGCTTGAAGACAAAATACTATAATTGGTTTTTTTAGGCTACACCTGGCATAGCTTTTTGTGGTTTTAAAATGTTACCTTTTTGCAATTTTCGAATATTTGGCACCATATTTTTACCACTTCCTTTGTTATATACAAGGAGAAAATTTAATGAAAACGTTTGGAACGTTATTTGAGAAGGAAATTGCTTTAAAAATGAAAATTGCCTATATTTCACGCAAAATAAGGCGAAAACTACTCATATTTTCATAAATTACGCGAAATCGACTTTTATAAAAAAATATACGGAAAATTCGCCTAAAATGGAACTATTGCCATATTTTTACCGTTCCATGATACTCCCAAAGAGAATATTTAAAGAAAAAATTGAGCAATATTTTAGAAAAAAATATTTAAAAATTTGCTTATATTTCGCAAAAAACTACACGAAAATTACTCATATGCTCGAAAAATTGATGATTACCTTATTTGAATATTTTTCTTTAAAGAACATATTTTATTAAGAAACAAATCTTTACCTTGAACATTGTAGTTGAAATACGTCTCTCCCCACAAAAATTGAATTTTTGCAATTTTCGAAAAATCAGGGATTTTAACGAACATGAACTATGTACCATTCTCTTAAGACCTATTCACAATTTTAAAATAAACTTCTGTTTGCATTGTATCATATATACTTATGTTTATGTTTTTGTATTGTGAATGGGTCTTTGAACTTCCTTTACGCTATCCGAGGATAAAGTTGAATCAAACAACGCAGAGTTATTTTTGAGAATATTTGTCAAAAGTTGAGGCTTCGTGTGAAGTATAGTGGTCGCCTGCGAACACTTGAAAGGGTACGGCGGCGGCCCGTGAAAGTGCCGCCACCGCCCACACGAGTTGGCTGAGGCGGAGCTGGGGCAACCGTTATGTCCCACTCACAATGCAAACAAAAATAAGCATGGCGTTAACATAAAAGTTAGGACCACGTCCATAAATGAACTCATTCACAATGCGTTCGCATAAGCATAGCACATAAGACGTTAACTTAAAAGCTTGCAAGCTTCTGTGCTTATGCTTAAGTAAGACAAGAAATGAACCAGTCACAGTACGTTAACTCAAAATCGAAAATCGAAAGAGGAGCGAAGACGAAGTAACGTAATATGGGCTATGGACACAGTCGATACCTCGAATTCGATTCTCACATCCAACCCATAGCAAACTAGAATGTCTCACAGCCAATAGAAACACTTATTTTGCTTACGTTTATGCCAGACATTGTGAATACTTCAATATATCACTTATGTTAATGTTAACGTCTATATAACGTATAGACGTTTGTTGTCGTTTGCATTGTGAATGGGCCTTCACCCTCCAGTCGACGCGCACCGACACGTCACGGCCCTACGTAACGGCTAGCCGGTGAGCCCTCAGCACGGAGGGGTATAATCCGCCCCAGGCAGTTCAGGTTATTCTGTCGAGTGCGAGACTTGAGGTGTAAGCTGCTGTAAAGTGATTTGAGTGACAACTACACAATAGTGCTACAGACTTCTCTCCAGGTCATTTTGACAACGGCGATCGTGATCTGAGACTTCTTCTTGGCTTTGGATGACTCCGCTTTTCTCTGGTACATCTCGATCATTTTGGAAATCGCTGTTTGTTCATGGTACACTCTCTGTGTGTAAGGCTATGAATAAATCTACCTTTTATGAACTTGGTCTTAAAAGGAGACCCTCGAGAAGAAAATAATTGCTGAGAATTGACAGATAGCATGTAATCATGAGATGAGTAAATGATTTTGCAGATAGAAGATTATAGAAAAGATACTGAAACTCACGAGAATTTACAATGTTCTCAAACAAAACTGTACGTGAAATAATCAAGCCTGGAATCCAAATTCTCTCACGTGACCTCTCCCGGGTATCTATTTGTATTTGTTGGTTAAATTAATTTTTGGTTCAGGACAAACTAAAATTGTTATATTATATAAAATTGTATGAAATATTATTTAACAACAATGTTAAAACTGTATTCTCTAAAAAGGTATATATAGTTGAAGAATGGAAGTGGAATTGCAGGGACTGGTTACGATAAACAGAGTCGAATATTGCTTTGAGTTATGTAATAATCTATGTTTTATTTTTTAATTCATTAAATATTTTTATTGAATCATAGACATTTAAATATTCATTAAGATTTAAAAACATAATTATCGAGCGAACATTTTTCCCTCACTTCCGTACCATCATTGGAACACAGTATGCCTGCCGCCGCGTCGGGCAATTTCCTTGCCCTTGCTCGGAGGAAGAGAGCAGATTTTTGTGACGTCATAGAGCATTGCGTTGGCAAGCAGTGGGTTCAAGGATTCAAACACATTTAAGCTCGTTCCTACCTAAGAGTCCGATACCTCACAGTTTGATTAGTGATTCCGGACGCGTCAACTTTCCCGATAGTATATGTTTATCGCGGGAGGTGAGGTTAATGAGAAGGAAAAATCGTGAGCGATCCGTGGCCAGTTTGTTAGGGTACTGCTCCGGTATTCACCTGGTATTGATTGGAGAAACCACGGAAAACTACCGATCAGAGCAGCCACCTGCTACAATTCTCCAGACAGTGGCAGATCTCGATCTAACTATCGGAAGTCAGTATCGGAAGTCGGAAGTCAGAACTATCGGAAGTCAGTGTCGGAAATCCTGCCACCGCCGGAACTCGAACCTAGGACCTTCATTGGCATCAGTTGATGCCCCAAGCCACCTCGCCTGGTCCGAGACCTCACAGTGTGAATGGTAACAACCGCATTGAAGCGGCACGTGCGTTTTCCAGGCGAATGCTGCCACCATGCGAGGAGCCTCGGCGCCCCGCGTCGTGTCCCTCAGGGCCTCCGCCTCCGGCGCCGCCGCCGCCGCCGCCACCGCAGTCGCCGTCGCCACCCCCGACACCTGGACCAGACGGCGACGCCCCCGAAGACACTTCGCCGCCTCTCACATGCTACGCACCCGTAAGCAGTTCATCAGGCGCTCTATTCTTGCAATTCGTATTGGAGTAGTTTTGAAAATTGCAAACGTTTAAAAAAATCCGGAGTTTCTCCGCCAAGTATATTAATGAAGATTAGAGATTTGTGTCTTAACCAAGTCTGTTCTGGATCACCTCCACCAACTATGGTAATGAAGATGGAGATTTTTTTCTTAATGAGGTCTGTTCTTCAACATTAGATCTTGAGTCACGTACAATTTAAAAAAAAATTGAGTTTTCCAAAATGTTTAATGAAATCAGTTTGCAGTGGCAGTTGTAAAAAAATGCGTTTACAAATTATTCTTCCTCATTGTAACCATCTCGTCTTATAGGGCATCTGTCAAAAACGCTTTTTAAGCCTGAAACGCTAAAGTTGTATTAATTAATATAATGAAAGGAATTCAAGGCAGGCTATGTTTTACTGGATCTACATGACTCTCTAAAATAACTTAGTTCATCAAAAGAGACTTTAAATCTATACTGAGGTGTGTAAATATAAAATGGTGAATAGACACGTGTCTTCTCAAGTACTGTGCGAAAGGGACCCTCAGAGAAAATGGGGGTCTGGAGCAGTAGATCCATGGGGGCCTCTGATTTCTAGCAAAAGTTCCCCTTGCTTTTTTACCATTAATTATTAATATATTATAGAGTGAATCGTATTTCAACTACCGTTAATTTTTGTTTAAAAATGAATTGAAGGAAAAATGTTTTGTTGGGGTCCCAATAAAGTGGGTGTCTAAGAAAGTAACTTTATCTGTCCGGTCCTCTGCACGGTCCCCTGCTGTGCGCAGGGGCGTCTGGAGCTCCTTGGGCGATGAGCCGTCGTTTTTTCGGGAACTGCCCGCCGCGCCGGATGGTCCGTGCATGTCATGCGCATCAACACGACTTCCCTCGCGGAGGCTGTTGAAGAGACCTCCGCGGAGCTCCGCCTACGCCCACAATTCAGGCTCTTACAGACACAGTTCAGATTTATTTATTAAAACATTTCTATATTAGACCCTTTGTTTCAATATATGAGGAACGTTCACCCAAAAACCAATATGTCTCTCGGGGGGAAATTTGGGTTAGCTTTGCAGTAATATGAATGACCGTCAGCTGTATCTACTGTCCTGATGTGGAGGAACAAGTGCAAATATATCCCTAATAGTATTACTTGTAAACATACGAGGTTCAGGCAAAATACAATATGTCATTAACATTGTTGGAAGCAATAAAGAGCATGTCCGTGTAACCAATAAGATGCCAAGATTCACGATCACGTGACTGCTCATGCTGCGTGGCTCATTCCGTTTGTGAAGTCTTTACAAGAGCGTCCTTTTTTATTTATTAAAAGATTGGGATCTCAAGGACAAAAACTTTGAGTAGTAAGTGCAAAGACGCACAGAACTGGACAATGTGAATCATTATCCACAAAAAAGTGGAAGGGATGAAGATTCATGCAGTTAAAGTTAACCCATAGCAATATTTTAGATTTGATGAAGTTCCTTTGGAAACGTGTTTTTTCATTAACAAATAGATACAATTTAGCCTTCTGCACATTAAAGGGGTATATCATTGACATATATAAAGAAACGCTAATGAAGCGGGCTAATTCACTGAACTTTTAGGTGATAAATGTAGATAATTGAATTTGTTTTTAGTTCTTTGTAATTTCTTTAGAGGCGAAAAAAATGCTACGTTTGCTACAGTAATTGTTGTAGTAGTTTTGTCTGTTTGGAAAAATACAACATTTGCATACAAACTGCAGTAAAATAATGTATCCCAATAAAACGTGATGATAATAGAAGCCCTATTTTTAGTACCTACTTTTTATAATAGTACCCCTACTTTCCCGTATACATACAGAGTAATGCACGTAGTATAGGGAAAGTTATGTAACGCTGCCCGAAAAAACGGCAGAAAAACGTTATTGCCGCGCCCTGATAAAGTAAAAGTGAATCAATCAACTTGCTAAATCAAGAGAAAATATCCTCTAACACGTGATGAAGCTAGAATCCCTGTTTTGTGGGTCCTTGATGCCGAAAAACCAATTGACGGTAACACGTCCGTCCGTTCACACCACCACTTAAACCATACGTACTGTTTTTTCAAAAATGAATATTCCCTGTGTCAATCTGGTTCCACACAATGCGCTGCGATTTTTAAAAAACTTCTTCAAAATTGGGAGGTACTTTACATAAAACTCTTTAGATATTTTCAAAATTTTCTCAAAAACGACTCGTATTTTCTTCTTTAAATTTCTTGTTAGAATAGAGCAAAAACACTTATAAAGATGGCATTTTTCACGGTTAACTCTGAATTCTAGAAAATTGTAAAATTTTGATTTTTTTACTTCTTCTTACAACTACAAAATTTAAAATTGAGATTTTCCCTTCAAATAAAATTTATTCTCTATTATCAGTTCTTTCATGAAGGTCATTTACACTTTTTTGAAAATTTCAGCAGTTTTCGCCCAATATTATGTGCAATAGTTGCTCTCTTCTTTTGTTTTTCAAAATTTACAAATAGATTAAATCAGAAGCACGTCACTTGAAAACGTATACACACTTCGACCCACTTTGCAGTAATTTCACCTAATATGGTATCTCTGAACTGAACTTCAAAGCTTCAGTTTTTCCGTTGCTCAGAACGAAATATTACTAAATCTCTAAAGAGGAACCCTCTCACAGCATTTGTTTAATAATATTTATTAATTTCCCTGTTGTTGTTTGACCCTTCCTGTTAATGTTTAAATCTGAATTGAAGGAGGGGGCAGTAAACACTCTTATTCGATAATTATAAAATTTTGAACTAAATACTTATTTTCGATCATGTTTTCCTTAATATTTACTTTTATGTATGTCGCAAATAATTTAAAAATATGTATTAGCTTTGTGTTTTACCTTCTTACAGAAAAAAACGAATCAAATTACACTTATGTTTAGATTTCCTGAAATTGTAGAAACATTCCATCAAATTCAGTTACTAAAGTTTGCTGATTTTATTTTTCTTTCTTTTCCAGAAAAAAGGAACAGGTAATGACCTTCAGAAATCATCGGAGGAATTCAAACTTCAAGAACTGGTGCAACAACGTGACTGCTTATTAAATACTGGGACATATGCTCTGGACCACCACCTCATTAGCTTGTTAAACAAACAGATTCGCCAGCTGCTGGCAGAGTCCACACACACATTTGAATAAAATGGAAACCATTCTTGATAATAAATTGATTATATATTTCATACAAAAATATTTGTATTTTATTTCGTTCATTTATATTATATGTCACGTGAATATTTCGTGTTTTTGGGCGCGACAACTATTTTAGTCAATAGTCTCGTGAGTGTAGTGCTTGTTATAGTCGATGTTTCTGCCCCGCTGGAACGAGAGATCTAGCACCGTCGTACACGTTTTGCTTGCGGGATTTTCCCCTCTTCAGGTAGTATCACCCCCAGAGGGGGTGATACGTTTTCGTTAAGTGGGTAAATTACGTTTTCGACATGAGGGGTAATGTAGTGCCTGTGCGTGAGGGTGGGTGTAAGGAAAAACAAAGAGGGCAATGGGAGAAGGAAAAAATCGCGCGCAGTCAGTGATCCGTTTGTTAGGGTACTGCTCCAGCATTCTCCTGGTATTGATCGAAGAAACCATGGAAAACTACCGATCAGAGCAGCCTGATGCTAGAATTCTTCACCAAACAGGATCAATTCAAACTAGCTAATTTGAGTAAAAAATTCGCCACACTTGAACTCTTATGACCTTCCGGTCAGAATCTCTGCTGCAACGGTTGTTTTTCCTTAGCAACAAATTTGATTCGAATTCTTTACTTTATATGAAGCTCCAACGACATTTTCAAAATTTTTTCAACAATGACTCTAAATGTTTACATTCAACGCTTTTGATAGAAAAACAAAGTACGCTTAAAATGTCAAGATTTTCTTAAAAAATCGACTCCAGAATAGTATTGTTATGGAGACTTTGGAACGGATAACCGATCTAGATATCCATTTCTTTAGTGTTAGTAACACTACTATTATTACTACTGCTGCTACTGTTTGTTCTGCTATTCTGCTTTGGCTGTTCCTTGTACACATGGCGCGGCGGCGGTCGTGCGCGCTCGCCCGCAGCACAGACTTCCTTGCAATAGTTGGATTTCTGATTTCTTAGGATTGGGATAGCTTGTCGATTTTGCCTAACTTTCTTCCCAGCTGGAATCTATCGCCACACAAAGAACATTTTTTCACATGTTTTCAACTTTTCAAAAGAGACGCTTGTACGAAAACTAGTGTATTTTAAGTAGTCTTTTTCTATGGTGACCATCCTTTAAATACAGCTCTCTTAAAGTGTAAATTACGAATTAATAATGCGAATACTTTTTCCTATGATTGTAAATTAGAAATAGGTGTTGAAGAGATTTCCTTCGCGGTTTCTTCCGGGTTTCTACTTAGCGGATTGCATCTGCTGCGAGGCCAAACACGCCAACAGCAGTCATACATATGGAGGCACATGCCAATAATGTCTTGCCAATAACAATGACTCCAAATAAGTAACTATTTAAACATACAACATGCGACTCAGACATAGAATGTTCAATTGTAGGAATTCCCAAGTCATACATCGTTCTCCTAAACATTCACCCAATCTCCAGATATTCTTAAAACACTTGAAAACAATTTTGGGTACAATATCAAAACGTGCTCATTACTCTATTATAACCTGTGCTGATATAAACATTAATTTCCTACCCACAGTTAGTATTACTCATGAAAAGGAAATAATCATACTAATAAACATCGCACGTTCCTATAACTTTGGTATTGTGGTTAGTTTTCGTTTGCATTTACAATGAAATAATTATATGAGTTGTCATTGCCAACAGTATTGTTTATTACAATAGCAGCTTTCGATGGATTAGCCATTATCAGTTTTGTAGTACAAAGAAAAGCATTAAAACGTGAATCAAAAAACAACAACATTAGAATAAAGAGATTACTAATGAATTAAAATTTTAGAGATTATATTTTATATTTTAAGGACTGAACAAAAGACAGGGGTGTTAAATATTACAAGATAGTGAATGAAATTAAATTTGAACTTGTGAAATTTTGAAAACATGAAAAAGTAATTTGAGCCGTTTCTTTCCTGCTGTATGGAAGCCACAAAACGACTGCACAAACTCGGGCGAGGCCAGGGGCTTAAGTACCCGGCTGTTGGTTGGAGGAGTGTAATGGCCTGGTTGCGGTGCACTGTCTACTGCGCCGAGCTATGTCGTATTTGGTCTCGACGGAAATACTGTGAAAATTGATGTTAAGTGTCTGCTTTGACACATAACTGTTTTATTTGAGGGTTGTTAAGGAGTGTGGGAGGACAGTATTTGAGGCCCTTATTTACAAGAGAAATATCCTGATAGGATAAAACAGTGGAGGAAAGATTGCAGACACGAGGGTGGAACTGGTGTGACATGACTCCAGTCAGGCCACACGTTCAATCCACACACAGATATTCTTATACTGGAAATAGAAAATCAATATCACGCCACATTAACTTTGGAAAACCACCATATTCATTTCAATAATAACTTACTGAATGAAAACATAAACCATAGCCCCTCTCCTGTACTAAAAGAATGATTAGACACCACTCGCACACCGTACTCTTCCGGGACGGCACTCGCCCGAGCCTACGTAGTCATTTTGTGGCTCAACTTACATTTTCATGTATTGTTTCAAAGTTTCACATGTTCAAATGCAATTTCATTCACTTCCTTGTAATATTAAATGATTTAACATACCCTTTCTTTCTTTCAGTTCTTAAAATGTTAAATATATTTTCTAAAATTTTAAATTATTAGTAATCTCTTTATTCTAATATTGTTTTTTGATTCACGTTTCAATGTTTTGTTTGTTTGTTTTTTCTTGTACTAGAAAACTGATGATGGCTAATCCATCGAAAGCTGCTATTGTAATAAACAACACTGTTGGCAATGACGACTCATATAATTATTTCTTCGTTCCTACAATATTGATGCAATAATCTGGTTGACTGGTTGACGCTACCTTACGAGACGCTTGTGCTCTTGAAGTTTTGTGACTTTATCTACTATTTTTAGCTATTTGACTACATTTGGTATGTTTAAGTGCTTTCATTTCTTCTTGTAGGATAGCTGGAAATATAATTCGGCTAGTTTTTTGCTATAGCCAGGACAAACCAAAAGATAACAAATTTTAAACGGTAACTGGAATCCTAACGAACTTAAGGTTTACAAGTTGGTCATAAGTGTCAAAACCTATAAACAGTTCAGTTTATTTATATATTATATGATATTATATCACTGTGCTAATTTAATTACTGAAAGATTTTATTATATATTTGAGACGAGTGACGATTACGTTGATTTGAACGTTACGAGGACGGGGTATCGAACAGTTTTAAATTTGTGTTCCAAATCTTATTTATTTTGTATTTTCAAGACAAATTTTCAGTTAATAATTTTTATCTACTTACGAAAAAAGTATAGTCTGCTGGTTGTATTAAATAGTAGCAGCTTAATTGGATAACAATCTACAGAACCACATTGCCAAAATTCGTATATACTACCTTTCAATCAATTTCGTAAATAACACACTTTCTCATTGTAGTATCGAATCATAATTTCAATTTATTGATTACATATCAATCTTACACTTCCAAATATTAAGCTAGGTGTTTGTTGCTTTTATCTGAGTTTCTTCTATTTATTCCAATTTTATCACGTACATAAGACGCATTGTCACATGGCTACTAATCGTTCGACTCTTATTACTCTCTACACCCTCTAAGCCGAAAGCATTCATATACATAAACAGGAATTTAGATCAACATATCCGAAGGTTGGAAGGGTCGTTCTCTACACAGACGGTTGGGTACAAGTCGGCCACAGTGCGAATCTTCCCAACCGTGCACACGTGACTGCACAAAAGACACAGATCCCACATCCAATCGCAACTCAAAACAAATTCAGTGCTTTAGATTATGAAACAGATTTTCCTCACCTTCCTGATCTTCACAAACCTTCTCTACCATCAAGAGAAATACATGCAATAACCAACGCAAGCAGGCTAGGAAGCGCGTCAAAACCAAAACATGTAAAGTTGCACATCCTATCCCACTTGAAAACAAGGACATTCCTAAGCCTAAAAAAACAATTACTTATTTTTGCTGATAGGCATGGCCGCCATCTTTCCTCCATTCTCAGTGGGAAGTTACCCTCCAACTACTCTGTCTCATTTATTTTTAAACCTAGGTTTGCTGACGTGACTGCAGAGTTGGACACTCACACGAAGACACTGACCAATCAGGACACAGTCATTATCATAGGGGGGCAGAATGGCATTAATTTGGGCGGTGACCTTACACCTGAACAACATGTAAATAAATTACGTGCCGCCCAAACTACTAACATTGTAGTCTCGACACTCCCCTTCTGGTACAACACCCAACACTGTGCACCGAGATTAAGCAAGCAAACCAACAATTAAAACTGCAACTGAGATAAACAAATGTAACTATATTTGAAATTAATTTCCTCTCAGCAAAACACTTCACATGGTCTTCATATGAACCTTGCTGGAAAACATAGTCGGCAACAAGCTTGAACAACGCATCAACTCCAGTCATATGCAGTCTTCTGCCAAAAATTCATCCCTTTCACCTTCCACATTCCCTTTTCCACTCCCACCCTTATTTTGAACCCTCTTACCTTCTCTGATCCTACTCCCGTTTCTCCCATTCTCACTACCAATTCACTTATACCTGATGCCTCAACCTGTCGCTGCTGGGGCATAATGCAACCTTTGACCACGCACAGAAACTCATCCCAGAACAGGTAGGATTTAGACCGGGGCGATCCTGTACGGGACAGCTTCTTAACCTAATCTAACACAGAAGGGCTTCCAAAAAGGGCTCATAACGGGTATGGCGTTCGTCGACCTGTCATCCACCTACGACACCATCAATGTACGCAAGTTACTTGCCAAGTTATACCACCTAACCCGAGATTTTAACTTCGTCCTATTACAGAAGCCCTTCTGAGTAACAGGCGCTTTATGGTCTCCATGAATAACAAGAACAGCAGGTGGCGCAGTGCAAACGGCCTGCCCCAGGGCAGCCTCTTGGCTCCCACACTCTTCAACATGTATACCACTGACCAGCCCATCAATCATCATCAAATATCGATTTTGGAGAAAATCGGCTCAACGGTTTATGAGCTAAAGTAGTGCACAGACGGACGGACGAACAGACAGACGTGTTGCCATCAATCGATTTTTCGGTATGTAGGACGCACAAAACGGATTCTGGCTACACCACGTATTAGAGGTTTTTATTTCTTCTAAATTTAGAAACTGGATTTATCTACTTTCTCCTTATCAGGGCCGCAATAAGAGTTTTTGAGTCGAAAATTCGCCGTTTTTCGGCGCACGATACTTTCTCTTTCTACGTTAGAACGAGCGAGAAAGTAAAAATTATATGATAAGGAAAACAATTTGTATTAATTTTGTGTCAGATTATTGAAAATTAAAGTGAGAATTAATTGGCGATGCTGGCTGTACCTAACATTAAGATTAGGGGACAAATTTACACGAAGGAAGCATTGGCAAGAAAGTTTGTGACTAGTGCACGTTGGCGTGGACACACGGGCGAGAACCTACTGCATCGTCAATTGCATTATTGAAAATACCGTAGATCAGTTTAAAATATTTGCTTTGTAATCTAAGATTAAATCAATATACCATTGATTAAAATATATTTTCAATTACTGTAAGCATTTATGCATTATAACTTTTTAAATTATTTAATTTTTAAATTTAATTTGTTCAGATTTTAATGTTTTGTTGTAAGACTGAATAAAAGGAAATATTTCAGCAATATATGTTGAAAAATTGAGTGACAAATAGGTGGAACCCTACCTTCACCTCCCTGTGGGTCACTAAGGCCTATGTGCAATTGCACAGGGCTACCTGTATTGAAGAGAAAAGAAAAAAAGAAAAACAACTATCAGCATGATGTATCACTAAACCAACATCTCCCTCACCCATGTAACACAGCAAAACGGTAATTCCCCCCAACTTTTTAGCATTACTTTATCAATGTATAAGCTCTTATTTGAAATATTTCACATAACCAGAAGCCAAATATATCTATAACTGACAGCAAAATATGAAAGTTAGAAGTTCTGTTTTCAAAAGACATGAACAATTAGAAAAATAGTTTAAAAATGAAAAGTTTATGATTCTGGAAAGAAAGAAGAAAAAAAAGAAAAATGTTAAGAACAATGTTGAAAATTCATTTCAGTAGGATTTTCAATTGATAATCCATTCATAATATAGGGCTTAGGAGGGATATTTGCATTCCATTTCACAAATGTGATCAATCCAAATTAGTAGTGGTAAGAAAATTCACTGACATTGATTCAAACATGATAGACACTTCTTAAAATATATAAAAAACCATGTATTAGGAAAGCCTGAATAACAAACATATGCCAGTAAAGAAATTACACACGAAAACAACAAAAAACTTAATTTAAAGAGAACAAAAACAATCCAACTATACAGTAAAACCTATGAAGATGGACATCTCCTTACTTTGGACACCTTTTTTTTGTTACCAGTTATATCTCAATACATTAACATGTCCAAATTATTCACAATCTTGTAAACTTTCTACCTTGGAAGTTGGACATCTCTTGCAGCCCTAAGTTGGACACATTCAACCCTTTCTTTTTTGAATGCTTGCTGATGGGTTGTATTCCAAGTGTCGGGAAGTACTGGGAAAGAGGGATTTTCATGTGGCTGGCCACTAAGGCAACGCAGAATTCTTCAACATCAGTTCTGGGAAGAACAGGGGATGCTGCCATTGTCCACCCAACATGATGTGTGCTTGTCTCCAACTTCTCCAGGTGAAGAGCAAGAAGAAACTATAACTCAAAGACCATCTCTACATCAGGAAGCAATTCGTTTTATAGGTGAATTAGAATGGTATGCTTTTGCAAACAACCAAGCAGAGGTGATGGAAACTTTATTTGGACTACAACACGAAATTGAAAATGAATAGGCTAGTTCCAGTCAAGAAAATAAAACCGTGTCTCCTGCCAGATTATTTCCAAAAGCAGCAATTCAAAATGTTAATTGTAATATTTAATAGTAGTAGTAGTAGTAATAATAATAATAATAATAATAATAATAATAATAATAATAAATGTTGATTGTAATATTAAGAAAATAATTTATTAAAATAATTCATTCAGTAATATTGCATTTACATTATTCTATCCTCTACTGTATATGTTGGACAAATTTAAGCATCACCAGAGGTGTTCAACTTAAGACAGGTTTTTCTGTTACTTTTTTACTAAAAAGTCTTTAAAATTACAGATTGCAAATATGCTATCATGCACAGGAAGTTTCTTCGACAAAATTTGAAATCATTTGCTTGAACTCTATATTGTCGTTTTAAAAATGTTTATTTTATTTTTCTAATCAAATTAATTTGTTAATTTTTGACTAAGACAACTGACACACTATCTCTTGAAAGAAACAAATGTGATACTAGAATGCTACTTAAAAAAAAGGACTTTGAATATTTGTGATAAACAAAGACAAAGGCAAAAAGGATAACCAGGGCAGTTGAAGAAAATGAAGCACTGTGATAGAACTCAGATTTTTGAAATCAAAATCATGTCATGAGTGAATAGAGGTCATATCATTTACCATAATCTTGAGAAATGAAATAAAGTCCACTGAAACGTTTTGAAAATTTTATCACATTAAATTTTAATTTACAAGTAATGCTACTGCATTACACTACCTGTAATACAACAAACTTTTATTTAGAGAATAATTCTATTCACAAGATATTTCTTGGAAAAATAATATTACAGAATGTACTACATTAAAATTATAAAATATGTAACAAACAATATAATTAAACATAAATATCAATTGTATAATACATAAGGTCAGTTAAAAGATTTTTCACTGACATTTATAACTTTACCCCTTGAACCTTGATCTTTGAATAATTTTTTTCAAAAATTGTCAATTTTTTCCAAAAATTGTCAATTTTTTTTTCTTTAAAACACTCATCAACAAACGTGCAGCAAATGTTTCACATCACCATGAACTGTAAAGACAACACATTTGTCATCAGCAAGTGTACTTGACAGCATTCACAAGAAATCAAAAGTTCAATTCTTCAGCCCCTTTTTTTATAAAGATATTAGGACACTAAAATATAGTTACAAAACAGAAATTAAGAATGCAATGTTATTAGACATTTATTGATTAGATAATATATCTTCTGGTGGATATAAAACTCCGATTTTTTTTTTTTTTTTTTTTTTTTTTTTTTTTTTTTTTTTCTTCTTCTTTTTTCCCCTTCATTTGTTTTAAGCTAACGTTTTGACTAGCCATGCTAGAGCTCATCAGAGAATAATAAAGAAGCAATCGGATATACACTGGTGTACGCAGGTTAAAAGAAGAGGGAGGGGGTCTACTTTTGTGGGCTCCCTTTTCCTTTTTCTTGTTATATACGACATTAATTTCTTGGAAATAAAACACACTTCTAGGAGAATGAAATTATAATTTCAAGAATACTATTAATATAAGTGTAAAATTGATTTTGTGTAGAACCATTTACCAGATTATTTTTAGGGGTTCTTTTCCAACTTAAATCAAGTGGAAAATTACTAATTGATCATATCATCAAAGGAAATAACATGTTTTATTACTACTAATTATGAAGCCCCTTTTGAAATTTTCAGGGTGTCCACATACCAGACCTATGGATACAGTTACTGACAATACTAAAATAAATTATGAGTATGTGTCAATTCTTAATAACTTTTGACAATTACTAACACTGCATGGTCTTAAGACTAGAGTAAATTTCAATTTTTCACTGCCTGAAACTTAAGGTAATTATCAGTTTTTTTGTTTTGTTTTTTTCTTACAGTATAGTTTTAATTTAAGGTATTAGTATTGGTAAAAACCATTACATCTCTGTTGACTTCTAGCATGACTAGATGAAACTTCTGCTATTACCACATTTTGATTAAAAAAGGGTTTTCTATTAAAAAAGCAGTCTTACATCCACTGGGCCATACTATCTACCCAATAAATTAATATGGGACCAATCAGCAACTATTTATCTTACTATAACACAGTAGTTAGCACCATATTTCAAGAATTAAAAAAAATTAAAAATGCTTAAAACTCAATTGGCAAATTCTCTTTAGTGTCAAAATCAGATCTTAATATTTTTGCATTGAAAAATGTACCTTCTGTTAAGATGCTACAAATTTTCAAGTATTCACAAGAATGAATCATTCACACGAATTGCATTTCAAATCCTTAGATCAATTGCATTTTGAATTCAACAATTCAACATTCATTATGTGAAAGTTCCAATTGATTTTTTCATCACAGAAATTAAATCATCTTAAACATTCTAGCAGTTCAGACATATTCACTTATAATCTTCAATGTTCTCTATTTCCTTCATTACATACTGTAGATTCTCTTAACAAATAGGAACATCTGGAAGCTGCACCAAATGTAACCAAGAATCATCATTGCAATAACTCCTTCTTCAATTTTTCCAATTCCAAAAGCTGTTTCTCCAAAGCACACTTTTGTTGTTTCAAAGCCAATTCATGTAGCTCTTTTTTTTGTTGCAAGGTTAACTCATGAAGTTCTTTTTGATGTTGCAGAAGTTCCTTTTTGTGTTGAAGAGTCAATTCATGCAATTCCTTTTGTCGCTGAAAAGTTAACTCTTGCAATTCCAAAGCTCGTTTTTCAAAAGCAGTTTTTGCAATTGCCGCTTCCAATTCAACCTCAGCTCTTTGCTTTTGAAGGTCTCGAACTGCCTCCCTGGTCCGTAACAGTGATTGAACAGCTAGACCTGTTGCTGACAGTCGCCTTGAGTGTCTGCCTAGTAAGCATATTGACAACTGTTAGAAGCAGAATGAAATATTCAAAACAATGTGTAATACGAAAGAATACAAACCCGATGCAGACAAAGGTGATGAATGAACAATTACACTGCGTTGCCTCCTATGCCATCGTTGCTGCAACCTCAGTTCTGCCACAGACAGCCTGGCCCAATCTGCAAAGATCTTAAATTCTTAGTATTTATATTACATAGAGAAAAAATTATAAGAAGTAAATAACAGATATTGGTAACATTTATAACCTATTCGGCATTTTCTATAATCACAGTAATAAAGATGACAATATTTTCTTCTTTTTTTATTCACGGTAAATGATAAAAACGATATAAAATAAAATATTTGAGTGCTACAATTCTGTAACTTTACCTGACGTTCCTGACGTTGGCATCGTATCAAATGTCAAGTCAAAGTTGCAGAACACAGAGAGTAATTTTCCTAGTAAATTATAATTGTTATTTTATAGTGTGAGTAATTTAATTATGAAACATACTGCATTAACCCGAAACGAGTAAATACTTCGACGAGAAATTGAAGACCTACTTTCACTCCAACTACTGCCCTCTCTGACTAGGCTGTCAAAATAGCAGTGGAAAACGGATGTGAAAATTTCACCAATGATAGAAGATATTATTTTGTAGGGGGAGAGTGGCTCTTGTGCATCATATCCGACTTCAGCCAATGACCTTCCGAAACGTTTGCGTCATTATATTAGCGGGAATTTTAAATGCAGTGAGATATCACTCCAATTATCACCTCGTTACAAGACGGGAAACAGATTTGCATTTCTTTTAAATATTACTTCTTCCACGCCGTCACCGTGTTGCTTTTGATTGGTTACCGTTGAAAATTGAAATTTTGTACCACTTTCAAAATGTTTCTCGTCACTATCAAACACTGAACAACTGAAAAAAACGCGAAATGCCGAGACATATTCCATCGTGAAGACGAGCCTTGAGAGGCAGCTATATAAAAAACCGCTTTATATTCGCTCTTCATGCAACATGGAGGCAGCCAGGAAGCAGCGTAGCATTGGCGTAGAATATTTCTAAATCGTAACTTCTTACAACCCCAACTTGAGCCTTCTCATTGGTCCGAATCTTTGAGCTGTTCCAAGTAGTTGGCATGGTCAACACTATACTGCTATTTTCGCAACTCCGCCCCTGGCAGGTATCAGCTGTCGATAGTTTCATCCAATCAGGAGCTTGAACGTCACGATAGTAGCATATTGTAGCTTATTGATCAGACGTTAACCGACAAATGCTTATTTGTACAGGTTCCGATTGCCACCACAATTTGGTTGAAATCTATGGCTAATCATGTGAAGGCAGCCGGGAAATTTGAAAAGAACATAAAATTACGCGGCAATTTGAAAATTTGTATCTTACTTTAAAATTTTTGCATTTCATCATCCAATTAAATTGTTCTATATTTTTACAATAAAATTCATAAAGTAGGTGCAGGACTGCTGTGCCCAGAGCAGGGAAAGTCTTCTCTTCGGAGGAAATTATAAAAATGGCGGCATTGGAGAAAGAGAAACAAGAGATGTCGAACGAGAACTTGACCGCTCTCCTGGTAAGACCGCCCGACAGGTGGGTGAAAAAAGAAAAGAGACTACATATCGAAGATATTTAGCAAGCATTGAAACTGCAGCTACCGTCCCTGCAGAGTCATCTTCGTTCCCATCTGATGGTCGGTGGTCCCATGATTTATCTAGACCTTCTACTTGTGCTGCTGTTTTCTCATCGCCTCGCAAGGTCATTAGCCCCCTGAAGATTGCAGTAAGTCAAATCCCTATGTTAATTTCTCCTTCTCCCCTGTATCGAAGGACTACCATTGGGACAGGAAGGAAGCCGATGATCCCCTACTCTGACAATTGTCCAAAGGGGGTGGAAACGTCTTTACAGGTCGAGATAAGCAAACAGCCTTATACCGATTCCCTTCCAAAACCTCGGCTCATAGCAGTGGCCACGAGGAACTCGCAATGGTAGACATTGCCTCCCCGGAAGCAGATTGGGGGCAATCTCCTAACGAGGAGGCCGTTATAGTTTCAGAAATGAATCAGGAGCTTTCGGCTGAGCCCGTCCTCTTTGATTCTGTTTTATCTACTGTTGGCATGGCCCATTTCGACACCGCTGGTCGGTTAGGACAGGACCAAACTTTTATTGAGTCCTCGGCTGCTATGACGCCCGGAGACGTAACTACTAAAACTTGTCTTAACAGAACAACACTAAAAGCCAAGCCTAACTGGAAGGAAAATATTTAAACTTGGTTAGGGACCTGGGGCACTTCTAAAACTAATGTAGATCAAGAGCTCATTGAGGTAGGAAATGAACTTAAAACAAATATTGTATCCCAGGACCAATTGAACGAGACCTATGTCAAGTTAGTGGAGATCTTGGGCGGCTCCTGTGTACCTACCACCATCAGGTCAAAAAGGCCGCGTAGAGATGGAGACAAACGCGCTAGGAAGCGCTACTCTTATGCTAGGACACAGGACCTTTTCAAGAATGATCAAGCGTTTTTTTCAAAGTGCATTAGCACGGGCATTGACTGTAGTAGTGTCGATAAACAGCCCCTTAACAGGGATGAGGTTAATGACCTGGACAAATCCATCTGGGGTAACTCGCCCCCGATTCGGCTTTCCGAATTAAGAGAGGTGATAAATTGTTGACACCTGAAGTGGACCCAGACAATTCTATACGCGGTGCAAGTTTCTCAAATTAAAAGTCGTCTGGCTGGGATGAAAAATGCCACGGCTCCAGGGCCTGATAAGATAAAAGTTAGCCACATATCCTCAGGAGCAGAAATGGACATATTGTCCCTATTGTACACCAAAATACAGTGGTTTTGTGCCTTCTGGGTGGAAAACTAACCGCGCCATCCTTATACCAAAAGAGGGTAAGGATAATACGGTGGTCACTAACTATCGCCCCATCAAATTAGTCCTCTGCTGTGCAGAATCTTTTGGGGCATAATAGACAAACGCATTCGATCCGCGGTGAAGTTCAATCCACGCCAGAAAGGGTTTATCCCTGAACCTGGCTGCTTTGCTAATATTCAAATTCTTCATGAAGCAGTCAGTGAGATGAAAAAAATAGGGTGGTGTAGGTGTTGTTCTAGATATATCCAATGCATTTGACACTGTTCCTCACGCGGCGATTCGGTGGGCTCTGTTCAGGAAAGGGATCTCTGACGCCTTTACAAATTTGGCAATGAATTCTTACGCCGATGTTTCCACCGTCATTCAACACCCTTCGATAGGAATTGATGTGCCAATTCGAAGAGGAGTGAAACGGAGATCTCTTGTCCCCACTCTTTTTTAATCTCATCACGGAGTGCCTGCTTGAGAAATCGGAAAATATGTCAGGATACACGCTATTGGGAAGGAATGTCTGTGTTAGCATTTGCTGACGATCTGGTGCTGTTACCAAAAGATTGCCCGGGAGCTCAAGAATTGGTTGATATTGTGGTGGAATATCTTGGGGCCCTCGAAATGACATTGTCCGTCGCGAAATGTTAATCATTTCAAATTACAACTTTTGAACGATCCTGGCTGATTGAGGACCCCTGCCTAGAAAGGTTGGGAGAGAGAATTCCCCTTGTCAGCAATGATTATACACTTACATACCTGGGAGTGAACTACTCTATCTGAAGCGGCTTCCCATCAAAAGCATCCGTATCGAATTTAATGGAAGCAGCGTCGAGACTTCAAAAGGCGCATTTAAAGCCCACTCAGAATTTGGCATTACTTCATACCTACATAATTCCACATTACCTTTATCAATTGGTTGTATCCATGCCATCAATGTCGATGCTCAGGGAAGCGGACGGTCAAATGAGAGTGGCAGTGAAACAGTTCCTACATCTGCATATGAGTACTGCAGATGGCTTATTCTATCTGGCCAAGAGAGATGGAGGATTGGGATTGCTGCGGCTCGCCCAACACCACCCCAGAGTTGCGCTGCCTAGCATTACGATTAGAAAAAATTGCAGATCCTATTTGCAGCTGGTTGAGCTCCTGATCGAGTTTTTACCAACGGATACTAAAGACCGCAAAATCACTGAGACTCAACTGACCCTACTCTGAACAAGATTTAAGGGCTTATACGAAATGCGCCGATGACGAGGTAGCCGCCTCGGAGGAGCTGGGATCCCAACGGAGAGCGGTTAGGGCGCAAATAACGATCCGATTGGAAATTCCTTTTTTGAAAGAATTTCAGCTTCTGAAACCTGGTATTTTTATCACTGCACTCCAATTGAGATCAAATACCGCTGCCAATAAAACTATTCTTAGTAGAGGAAGGCCCAGGAAGGATGTTTTCTGCAGGAAGTGCAATACAGCGGTAGAAACCATGAATCACATCCTCGATCAGTGTATTTTTACGAAGCCAGCAAGAATAAAGCGTCATGACGAGATCAAAAATATCATAGAAGGGAAGATGCTCCGGAAATCAGAAACGGTGGTGTCCACGGAAGCCCCTTTCTCCGTTGCCGAAGGGGTTAGTCTCAAACCTGACCTGCTAATAAAATGCCGGGAAGGGGTCCACGTGGCCGTTGTGACCATGAGGATGGGTCTAGCCTTCTGAAAGCAGGGGAGGAAAAGGGTAAAATACCAACCAGTCATCCCCCTGGCAGCCCAACTTCATGGAGTACCCAACGCCAGAATCCTGGCAGTGGTGGTTGGAACCTCTGGGGATATGCCAAGATTCAGTCAGTGTCCTCAAGACCCTGTGAATTACGTCTCGAGGCGATCTACTGACTATCTTGTTATTGCTCTCAGAAGCTCTATTAAATTTTACACACAATTTGTAAATTACGATGGAGCAATTTAGCATTGCTTGTAGTAAATGCAGGGAAAAAAACCTTCAATGTCCTATAGGGAAGTCTAGGGAACCCATTGGATCCTAAAATGCCTAGGAATTACCCAGTTACCACGACTTTAAGCGGAAGGTGTATGCTATTTAATATAGCATATAGAAAATTGTGTATTCAGAATCATGTTTTGTGTGTCCGTGATACCGAAAAGTCCATTGACGACATAACATCTGCCCGTAACTGTAAACAATCCTAGCTTCAAAATTGATATTCTCGAATCGATATGGCTGATGAACCTTGAATTTGAAACCGATTTTTTAAATTTTTTCGGGAGGGGGGTTACTTTACATTAAGACCCTGGGACATTTAAAAAAATGGCTCAAAATTTTTTGAATACATTATGATTTCAGATAGCGTAAAGGGTGCTTAAGAGAATGATGCATGTCTGATTTTCCTTGAAATCCCTGATTTTTCGAAAATAGCACAAATTCAATTTTTTTCTGCATTTCCCTACAACTAAAATATTGAATGCATTTTTTTCTTAATAAAATCTTTTTTAAAACAATTTTGAAATAGGGTATTTTACAATTTTTTGAATATTTGAGTATTTTCACCAATTTTTGCGTAAAATGTAGGGAATTTTTAATTTTGTACAAAAAAGGGCACCAAATTTATTTAAAATTTGACCTCGGATAGTGAAAAGGATGCTGAAGAGAATGGAGTAGGTCTCATTTTTGTTTAAATCTTTGATAATTTCTTTTAATTGCTAAAATTCAAAACTTTTCAGCGTCATCCTACAATAACAATTATGAAGAACATTTTTTCTTAATGAAATGTTTTATTTAGAAACTATTTTCAAATAAGTTCATGTTGAATTTTTAAATATACGTATTTTTGCATAATTTTGCGTCACACTTCGGCACTTTTTAAATTATAACAAATTATATTCTAAGAAACGGCTTCAAATTGTTTCCCATGTGTAGCAAAGAACGGTAAAGGATGTGGTTCTGGTTCCATTTTCTGTGCCTAAGTATTTTCGAAAAATTCGAAATGGTAAATTAGAATTTTCCGCGCTTCGTTTTAGGTGGTGTCACTCCAATATCAATGTAACTTGAGATGTGCCTGGAGGCAGTCTTTCGAATCTTGAAAAGAAAGATTACGTTTAATATTATTTAAGCATTAAATATATTTTAAATTGCGTTATTTAATTGAGTTAAATGTGAAAAACAAATGAATCATCTCGCTTTTCTTCGTAAGGTGATGGAATGACGATTAATTCGAATAAAAAACAAGCAGTTTTGATGAATAAAACAATATATTTAATAATTATATTTTTCTGTCCATTTGCATTGTTGCTAGAGGTATCAAAAATACTAATTTGCAAAATCTATATGCCATACGAATTCAGCGGCCATTGTTGATTTGACAACGCCGGACCGATAACAAAAGGCCGACACTAATTTCAATCATAAACTAATAATTTAATTTACGTCTAAAATGCGCATCGGGCGTCGTTGGCACATTTATGTAGAACTGAAATCAATGGCAGAAAGCTGTTTCCATTTAAAGTTTGAATTAAAAAAATGTATGTAATTTTTGTTTGTTTGTAGAATAAAGCATTTGGCATGTTAGGGGTTGAAAAACCACCCAGTACTTGTAACATAACTATTTTCATGATAACGATTTTTAATGTGGCAGATTGTTTCCACCATTTTCTATAAATGAAGTTTTGACCAAATTGGATTGTTTTTTGAATAAATTTTATTTTTTAATTACATTAGGAAAAATGATACTTTTGCCTAGTTTCTTTAAAAAGGACTATGTTGATTGTATACATGCATAGAGAATTTGTAGAATATTATTTTGGCACTTGACAATATTTTCATCTTTGTAATATTTTCAAGCCAAATTTAAATTCTTGGATGAACAAGGAACTTTAAAAATTGTCTTTTCATTCCAAAATTAATAATTACCTATATATTCTTTTACACTTCGTGATAATCTTTGTAAACTGGAAGGACAAACCACCCTTGCGATTACCCACTCCAAAAAGGAATGACATTAAAGACATAAGCCTCCTCAATCTGTGCTTGGAAATGAGTACAGCACACTTATCTCATATTAATTCATGATTGAGTGATATGTAACCTCAATATTACATTTAAGAAAAGTACAAGAAAAGTCCAATTATGTATTTATTGAAATAGCTGGAATGGGGAGCCAGAAAAGCAGGAAATTGGAACATACTAAATATTCTAAATGAAATTCAGAGAAAAATGGCACTTTCAAATAAATTGCATTTTCAATTGATCAGAGACAGATCCAGAGACATATTTTGGGGAACAGGGGATACTAACAGAAATGATTAAAAGTCTAATGGGCATAATAAGTTAAGCCAAAACCGTATTCATCACACTTTTTTCTTCACATTTATAAAACCTGCTTTCGAAATTAAACATTCTAAATTACTATAAAATTCACTAATATTTGGAAAGTTATTTTGTTAAGGAGAGAGAGTTAGGAAAAAAGGGAATCACCCTTCCCCATATGGATCTGCCTCCACAACTATTGAGTAGGTTTTTGTACATTCTATGATTAATGTTTTGTGCTTCTGTTGTACAGAAGTCACAGATCAATTTAATATAAAAACAACTCTTCCCAGTCACTTTGTAACTGTTGAAGAAATAAGAGCTTGATATTTTCTATCTTTAGCAGCTATATTTGTCAAATGCATACTATATGAAGTCAACTTTTAAATCAAAAGCCATTGGAACCAGTACTTCTGTTCATGTTCAACTTGTTTTAAAATACGGAATTGCAAGAAGAGACTGATCTGTTCTCACCAGTTTATATAAAGTTCTGGTTTGCAACAAGTAGTGGAGTTTTCTTTAATTTATTTGAGTGTGTGAGAAAGGTTCAGATGCAAGAATATTTAGCAAATTTATAGCTTTCTCATTAAACATACGGAACCTCATATTTCATATCTACTTCTGGCCTCAAAAAGGCATATCCCAGATCAATAACTTTGGAAATTTATTCTACTTCTGTTTTTTTAAATTCACCGATTTTGCAAGAAAATTATTTTTAATAATAATAATTTATTCATACTGATTTCCACATCTCCCAAATATTCTGAATATCCGAAAACAATGCAACTTTCAAACAATTTCATTCAAATGTTCAAAAGCAGTAATTTAGACACAATACACTCCCCAAGAAGTTCAAAATGCTTCTGAGACCTACAGAGGCTATTTAGGTAAAGATGAAGAACAATATTCAACTTATTTCATAAATGTTAAATGTGGTATGATGCCTAACTCATCAGATCTCAAGGGAAGGGCTCTCCCTGCCACAACGTAGATATGCCAATGGTTATCTATTGCTATAATCTAAGTTTGCAAAAATCAGTGTTTGGGGAAAATAATATCTTCAAAGCTAGGGGTCTTTTATTAATGGAGAGAGCCAATTTTACGAATTCAAACTACTCTCATTCCCCATGACTGCCTGAGAGGATTGTTATAACAAAAATACAATTATCGCATCCTACCATACCCTTGTCGCACAACAAAAATAGAAACAAATGAAAAAATGAGTGATTATGAAGAGATATTTTTAAAAAACACCATTTTATTTCACCATTTCTCCTCAATTTTGGAAAATGACCGATCTGAATCATATGGCCAAACAACAGGACAAGTACCACTGAACAAATTGCAGGCGAGGCAATAACAAAACTTCAGATCCTGCTGCACTCATTTAGCCATCTAGTACAAATCCCGCGTTCCACTCACTTTTCCATTCAATTTTGCATAACCACAAATGTCAAAATGCCATGTTCAACTGAAAATCCCTGAGTTGATTTAGTCACTACTCATACTTCACTTCAATTAAGTTTCAATAAAGAGGACAACACATGATAATTGGTGTTCTCAAAGCAATGGGGAAAGAAATAAACATCAGAATATAAATTCTCTATGGCAAAGGATAAGAGTAAATATTAATTCATATCTTGAGAAAGGTCAAATTAACTTCACTGAATGTTAGTATTAAAAATGTTTCAATGCATTTCATTGAGTATTCACATATTTTAAAATCAAACATTACAGAACTTAAAACCTATAATTAATTAAACATTTACAATTTGAATCACATTTCTTAAAAATAGCTGGAAAGCAGTTTTATATACAACTCTTTCAATAACAATAACAACAATAACAACAACAACAACAACAACAGCAGTAGCTGCCTCTTGAACAATATAACTTGATCATTTGAAGGAATATTACCAGTGAATTTTGTCACCTGTCTCTAAAACACTACTAAATTTAAAATGTTTTAATATGAACACCTAGTCAAACAATATTCTTGAAAAAGATTTGATCAATTTCAATGAATAATTATACTAAACATACTAATATGCACAGAAGAAATGTCAAATCAATATATGAAAAGGAATAATCAAATACGGATTCTTACTGCTGATTGATATATAATTCCAATTATTAAGTTTAGTGTAGCATATATCTATGTCAAGAATTAAAAATGGATTAATTACCAATGATACTTTTTGTACCAGCAGTTTGTTCTAAAACTGACAAAATTGTGAACATAAGAATTATTACTGTTGTTGTTTTCAATAAAACTCAAAATAACTCGATTTCAATAAATGTCATCTCACGAATGACTAGATTTTTGAGTGACATTTGTAAATAATAAAAATATAAGATTAAATTTCATATTTACTTCAATGGCCTGTTAAACAGAGCTTGTCTGGAAGAGTGAGTCTTATATACAAAAATGACTAAATATCAAATGTACATAATTATTTATGTGACACCTTATTTCATATTCCTGCATCAGGATGTACTTTCTCAAATTCAATCCAACTCTTACAACTATTCAAAATTGCTTTAAAAGTTTTCTTTTAAATGTAAACCAATTCTTTAACTAAATTAGTACAACTTTTATCAGAGAAAGTATTTGTCAACTACGACTATAAATCTACTTATTTTTGATAAATAATATTACAAAAAATAATTTTTATATTTACATGAACCTATGTATTTTCAGGTTTAAAAGCCTTGGAATTAATATCATCAGAAACTTCAGTTTTGCTCTCACATTCACAACCAGTGAAGCCACCAACTGCAAGAGATTCAACAACACAGTCACTGATTTCCCCTCTGGTGGAAATCTTGCATGTAGGAGAGCTTGCTAGGCTAGGGGCAGCATTGATGGGATGAGTGACTGCAGAGTCCAGCAACTCCTTATTGGTGACTGCACTTTGATGGTTCACTTTTCCCACATCATCTGATTCAACACAAGCAACAGAAGTGTTTGAGGAACAGTAATTGCATAATTGACCAGTGGTATTCTCACCACCACTGCAAATGTCACGGCCGAGAATATCAGTATTATCTTGAGTGTATTCATCTCCACTAGGAGAGACATCAGAAGGCAACATCTGACCTAAAGATGAGTTGGAAGGAGAACTACTTGGCTGTTCACTGATTTCTGATGAGCTGCAATTGTTTTCTGAAGGATCTGGAGATGCAAAGGATGACTCAGGGCTGCTGCTCGTTCCTCTTGTGTTGAACATCAGTGGCAGGGGATTAATCACAGACACTTGCACTGAACTAATATAATTTGGCAAAATTACCGAAGGACTTGAGTTGCTCAAGAGAGTATCAGACTCCCCTGCATTTTCCACAGTTACTTGAATTGTATTATTGCTAGTATGATTCACAGGTGAACAATTTCTATTTGAGGTTCCCAGTAGCCTGTCTCCTTCACTGGGGTTATCTTCAAAATTGTCAGGGTCAGCAAAAGGTTGGGTGAGATTTTCTCTTGAGGTGTAAGGGGGAGGAGGTCCTTCACGAGGAGGGGAAGTCAAAATTTCAGAATAAGGAGGAGGATCTACAGGCTGCCCAACAAACTGTACTCCATTATTAATATTGTAGGTTACAAGGAGGCCAGAATGGGATGGCTGAGACAACTCTGCTGAGTGACCAAGAAAAACATCCAAGTCATATAGAGGGGGCACAGCGTTTCTTGATGGGAGATTGACGAGGCGATGACCACCAGCCAAGTGACGTGGAAAGCCACTTCCAGGCCCTGTGTGGGATGCAAGCATAGCAGCTGGGCAACGTGTCAGCACAGAGCGCTTCATATGTACTCTGCATATTGCAATGATGAGCACAGTGACGATGAACATGAAGGCCATGGCACATCCTGGGCAAAGAAGAAAGGTAATGAAAATATTATTAGTGATTGTATTGTAACATTAAATTTGCACCTCATTTACATCAATCATGAACATGAACACAAACACACACACATGTACACACACTACTGGACCACTACACAGTCAAATACATTAACAAGTACACAATTCAAGAAACTCATGATCATGGACGTTAACAGATTATCTGCCTCACTGTTGTTGTAGTGTAAAAAAGTAAATAAACTGGTGAATGTTAAGATTAAGAGGTTATTATAGCAAATAGGTTAAATACTTAATAGGTTATTATACCAATTTACAGAGATAAAAGAACAACTTGGAAATACCGTGGGATCGATCATCTGGAACACATGTTCAACCATTCAGTTTTCAGGGTTTTCTTGCCATTGAGTGACATGCAATCATAGGTTACATAACAAATACATTCTATTAATGAATAATAATAATAATAATAATAATAATAATTATTATAATAATTATAATAACAAGAACACAAACAATAATAATTGATTTTATCTTTTTTATAAACAATTGTGTATACACTTTATGTTATGATTACGTATTTACATACCAAATAAAATTAAAAAATTTCTTTAACATATTTACATCTTTTTTTAAGGTCGCATCAACTACTAGGTTATCACCACTATTGCTTGTAACGGTATGGTGACTGTGTGGGTGACATGTTATGATGATGATAGGAGGTGAAAGGACGAACACAATACAACCATGCCCGAGGCGGGACTCAAACCTGCGACCCTTCAGTTTGAGATCGCTACTACCTTAGAGATCTCGACTATCTGGACCGGCATTTACAACTTGTTCAAGTTTTTTTCTTGATCAAATTTTTGGCCTGATTGTGACCTTCATCATGGTACTTACACCTCATGATCTATAAAACAACTAATCCATTTATGAGAGTCAAACTTTTCCATTTTGAATTCGTAATGCCAACTGAGTAGCATTCAGTTGATGGCAATTTAAATAATTGTAGATGATGACTGTAAATATTGTGTTACACAAGGGAGGGAGGCGATTCTGACAAATTGAAGCCTCCTTGCACAATGAAAGTCAGAATGGGACAGTAGGAGGTCAGTCACCAAGATGACCCCCTTATGACACTTGGGGACTAGAATATTTGGGAGAGTAGTGAAGTGTATGTTCAGAATTTGATGTAAAGGAAGAACTTTTGTGATTTGAAAGGTGATACTGATAAAGGTATTGTTATTGAAAACTGTTCAATTAACTAAATTTTTAATCATTATTATTTTCGGTTTACAAACAATATTGTGCAAAGTTTTTTTGTTGTTATTATGAATAAATATTGTTTTTTGTTTTTTGAAAATGTTTTTTGAAATTGAAAGATTTTAGATTTAATATTTCAGTAATTTACCTTCTTAAAATCTATGGTGTAGGTCATAGAATCATCAGTTCTATACAAATAATTCAACAGACATTTTTACTTTCCACCATTAAGCAAATTTATTCATTTGAAAGAAAAAAAAAAAAAAAAAAAAAAAAAAAAAAAAAAAAAAAAAAAAACACACACCATCTCATTTGTGGTGCTGGAACAGACCGAACTTCAATGACTTGAAATGTTAACTAAATTTGGAAGAGTTTAGTTGTTTAATTATTATTAAAAGATTTAAATTTGAATAATTATTGACAAACTTACTGAATTACATTAAAAAAATGGACAAAAAGTAAGGCTATGGCACAATGAACTGGAGAAAGTTTGAATGAATTTGTCGAAATACATTCTGACAGGGATTCAGAAGGAACTCAAGAGTAATATCGAAGAGATACGTACTGAGGAGTACTATATTGAGGAATATTTAAGTTCAGAACAAAATTTACTGGATGAAATAGTATTTGGAAATAATAACAAAAATACCAAAGATGTTAATGTAGGAGCCTCTATAAATAAAAATAGTAATAATAAATACTTCAATTATTATTACAAAATATTCAGAAATTGAATAAAAAATTAGATAAAAATTTACTGGAAAATCGTTGTCCAAAATTCTCACGTTTTGAATCAGAAACTAAACAAAATGAAAAGTAAAATATTGAGATTTAAGTTTAAAATTAGATGGAAATTTAAGAGCTTTAAACTGCAATAGACAATAAATTGCGTGACATGAATTGGGAATTATAAATTATTCAAAAAAATTTTTATAATGATATTGAGATAAATTTTAAAGGAAATAATGTGAAGTTAATTAATGAAAGAGTTGATAAACTTGAAAGTTATGTACTAGAATTCAATAGTAGCAGTATAAGTCAAAGAGTCAGGGAAATTCAACAGCAAATTAGGTATGTAACTAGAAATGATAACATAACATAATAAACAACTTGGAAATTTGGTTGAGAAAAAGAGTTTGGAAAGAAAATATAAAGAATGGGAATAAAATTTGTAAGTAAATACAAAGTGTATGAGCAATTGGCAAATTCAAATAAATTTATTTTTCGAAGGAGACATTAGGGAGATGCCACATACATTTTTATTGGCTGTTGAAAATTATTTTCCAGAGAACAATGCACAAGATTTTGTTAAGATCCAGTTGTTATTTAGCATGCTGTGAGGAAAGGCTAGACTATGACACCAAGCATTGATGCAGGTACCAAATTCATACACGAGGAACAGTTTATTGAACCATTATTGGAATGAGGACTAAAGATTTACTCTGAAAACTATAGTGTTATTTGAAAGATATCAAAAGAATAGGAATGAAACTATGAAATTATTAGCATCAGTAGGCAGTTACCTTTTGTTTTTGAAAACATCCTAAAATAGTGCATCGGTCAAGAGTATTGATGAAGTACTAAATATTTTATTCAAAATTTAATCAGTCTACTATTAATAATAGTAATGACAAAAATTAACATGAATGCCACGCAATGGAAAATATATTTTCAAAACCCTCCAAGGAATAATTCAAGGGTAATGAATCAAAATAGCAGAAACTTGAAAGGAAATTAGGAAAATGGACAGTTTCACAGAATTTTATAAATTTTGAGGGTATATATAATTTCGATTTTGGAGGAAATCAAAGATAGCTAAGTAAATCAAAGGTAGCAAGTATTATTTAATACTTGCACTTGAATAAAGAAAGAATTATGAGAGAATTTTTAAGAATTCTTTGGGGTGTGTATGCATTTTGAATAAACAAAGCTGAACATGGTTTCAATTATTATCACAAATTAATTTAAACTACAAAAACATTCCTCATGAGAGTAATGGTATTTCTGTTTCAAAGTTCATTTTCAGAAAATTAGGGAAAGTACAATTTTTCATTAATGACTTCGTGTTATTGAGGACACTTCAAATCTCCAATACAGTTCAACAGGTGATAGACAAGTTTTTTCAGATCTTTGGTGGTCCATATAAAATTGTAGCAATGACATTTAGAAATATTTTTAATACAAAACACTTCTGGTCAATCAGTAGGGACTCTAAGAACTTAAAATTGTACAAATATTAGGGTGATTTTGTTTTTAAACAGCAACAATTTAGATGTGGATCGAATTCGTAACGAGTCCAAATTAGATGATATATTTTGTTCATATTTGACATCAAAACAATATGTATAGACACGGCATACTGAAATAAAATCACTGGTATTCAATAATTTGCTGCATTTGATACATAACAAATACACTACCCTACAAAAGTGAATTTTTCTTCCTCCTCTATGTAGAACATTACTTTTCCAAATATGAAGGGTAGTTAGAATCCAGTTTTTGGATCTTTGATAATGAAACTAGTGGTGCTAAAACAGAACCTATTTTCTTGAATTATTTGCCACTGTTACAAAAAATTATATTACAATTTGAACTTGCAATATTCTTTTACAAATGGCAAAATTTTTTGCCTTTGCTGGGATTTGAAAAGCAAAGAACTTATCACTACTCCAAACAGCAGAGTTGAATTAAAAGTTGAATATTTGCAATTTTCCAAAATTCAGAGGTTTTCTTAAAAATTCGACATATGCCATTTCATTAAGACAATATTACTCTAGTAAAATTATTTAAAAAAAATCTAGAACTGTTTTTCAGATGATGTTGTTTATGTTATTTTTAAAAAAAATTTAAAATGTTAAATAAAAAACTTTTTCTGTGGCATTATTTAACGATTAAAGTTTGACGAACAGATTTCATTATGAAAAAATCTCAATCTTAAATAATGTATTCATAGAAAAATGCCAAAAAATTTAAAAGTTTGCAATTTTTCGAAAATTACCCCAAATACATTTCAAATTTAAGGAAGATAGAACATCAGCCAGATCAATAAGGGAATATCAAAATTTCTCAACACACAATGAGAAGCACTTGAAATGAGGAAAATGTCTTTTAATGATAATACAAAGAGTTAAATGACTTAAATGTCCGGGAGTTATTGTAAGTTGTTCTTGTATATGACCCATAGATGTAGTTTTGTCCTGGTTGTTCTTTTAATTTCATTGAATATCCATGCCCTACCAATTTTTATCTTTGTTCTTATTTTTGGAGATGTTTCTTGAAGAATTGACAGCAGCTTATCTGGGAGATCAATGTAACAGTCATCAATACTTCCATCATTTTCCACATCTCTTTCATACGGCAATCAGCATTTTAATTCAGAATTTATGATTTCATACTTGACTTTGATGTAGTTGAGGCCTTGATGTAACTGGCTTATTTTGTGATTCACTTCGATTCACTCGAAACTGCATACTAGTTATGATCACTAAGTGATTGCTACATTTACTGCAGGTTTAGGATTAGTGCTGTGATAATGTTTTCTTTAAATTTAAAATTAAAAGTTGGTACAGATTGTCATAAGTTGTAATTTGGATATTTAAAACAAGGTTATTGATAGGTCCACATATATTGTATTGACCATCACTAAATCTTTTATTTTTTGAATTTCAAACTTGCACACTATGACACTTTAAATGCACATATGACATTTCTAAGGAATGGCATTGGTTGCCTCCATCTTCAGAAT